GCCTTCTCCTGGACTGCACTTTAAAATAAAGTGTTATTTACGGACACCGGAGGCGTACACATGAACATTATTCCGTGTGAGTCGTGAGGGAAGCCGCCCCCGGCAGGGGCGGGGGTGGGCTGAAGATGCCCCCACCCCACGCGGGCCTGGGGGAGGTGCTTCCATACGGGGGAGGGGGGGGAGTTCTAAGTGAGAAAAAATGAGAGAGGCTGCCTGCAACACAAGTGCATCGGGGGAGCCTCTGGGGGTGTCTTCCGTTTGGTTCCTCCGCAGCAGGAGGGGGGCCGCTCCCGTGGCACCTGTGGCTGCAGCCGCCTGCTGCCCGGAGGGGTGTCACCTGGGAGAGTCATGTCCCTTCCCGGGCACCAGTGACAACCAGAAATAACAGCACCTCAAGAGTCTGAAGATGACGGGGGGCGAGGGCACCCACTGGAAAGACCCCAGTTCCGGAAAGAAAAGGGTGGACCCAGAGCCGGGGCACCACCTTGTCTCTGGTCCTGGACACGGGTCAGAGGGCTCCTGAAGGCAGCGGCTCAGGCCGGAGACCTGGCCGTGCAGTCCGGAGGCCTCAGGGACACGCCACCTGAGCTTGGGAAGCTTCCCGGGGTTGCGACGACAGGGAGCCCACAAACGAGGGAGCAGAGGCCAGACGGGGCTGGTCACTGTCCTGTGGGCGACACTGACCTCCAACACGCTCACACAGCTTCTCGAGGTGAGAGCCCTGCTGTAGGCTGCGTGGGCTCGGTGGCGTCAGCACGCACAGCGCAGGAGAGGGGTGCGAGGTGCAGCTATTAGCTCAGCGGGGCCTGGGACGGCCTCACGTACGGAAGGAGGGCGACAGGGCCTGTCCGTGTGGACGTTGTGCAGGATGGGGTGACACTGAGGCTAAACCAGGGACCCTACTGCGTGTGGAGATGTCACCAGGGTGGGGGGACACCTCAGAAACAGCTCCTGAAGGACCACACACGATGAGGTAGGCTGCTTTGAAGCCCAGACCTCAAAACCCCACCGTCGGTCACTCCTCTGCAACACTGAAATGATCTTCAATGTGTTACATTGTATCAGGTGTGACAGTGCGGCCTGTGTCCCAGACCCGGCCCCCGGGCGCTGGCATCTGCCAACTTCATCACGAACTTCTCATCAGTGGTGGTGCCAAGGGGGTGCCTGCGCACACGTCTGACTTGCAGTGGGTCAGCCTCCCCTGTGGAACCACAGCCAATGGCCGGCGCTGCTCGTACGAGTTGGCCAAGCTGCCGTTTTTTCTGACAGAATTTCTTCTGGAAAATGCCCACACGGAGGATGAAAGCTCCCTCGTAATGGGTTTTCCAGTGGAAGCAGGAGTTACCCTTAAATGCCAGTCGCGTGTGCATTGATGTATCTCCAGTAGACACTTGAGTGACATATTTCGCGTTCAGCGACCGGGAAGGGCGGTGGCTTCGGGTACGATGGTGTTCGTCCCACAGGCTCTGAGGAACAGCCTCGCCGTGATTCATTTTGTTACCTTATGGCTTTGATTGCAAAACCCTTTTGCTCTCTAATAAAAAAAAGTGTCCTGCCTCCCGCATTCGCTTGGAGCAGAGAAAGCCTGTGGCCAGGTAGTGTGTTCGTGAGGTCTGTGATTCACACGAGAGGTTGTGGAAGATGTTGCAAAGTCTAGCCTGTTGGAGTATGTAAATATATCGTTTTTATTACAGCGTTGTATTTGCTGTGATACATGAAATTATGTTGAAAAGTCTCAAAGAGAGATACTTGATGCATATTTTATTTGGCAGTAGGCACGTGATGATTCTGGCAAAGGAATATGTTTGTTCATCTGATAGTGTTACAGCCGGTGTGTGCAACTGTATCCAGTGTCTCTCATAGTGTCACAGCAGGTGTGTGCTACCGTATCCAGTGTCTCATAGTGTCACGGCAGGTGTGTGCAACCGTATCCAGTGTCTCTCATAGTGTCACGGCAGGTGTGTGCAACTGTATCCAGTGTCTCATAGTGTCACGGCAGGTGTGTGCTACTGTATCCAGTGTCTCATAGTGTCACAGCAGGTGTGTGCAACTGTATCCAGTGTCTCATAGTGTTACAGCCGGTGTGTGCGACTGTATCCAGTGTCTCATAGTGTCACAGCAGGTGTGTGCAACTGTATCCAGTGTCTCATAGTGTCACGGCAGGTGTGTGCTACTGTATCCAGTGTCTCTCATAGTGTCACAGCAGGTGTGTGCAACTGTATCCAGTGTCTCATGGTGTCACGGCAGGTGTGTGCAACTGTATCCAGTGTCTCATAGTGTCACGGCAGGTGTGTGCAACCGTATCCAGTGTCTCATAGTGTCACGGCAGGTGTGTGCTACCGTATCCAGTGTCTCATAGTGTCACGGCAGGTGTGTGCTACCGTATCCTGTGTCTCATAGTGTCACGGCAGGTGTGTGCAACCGTATCCAGTGTCTCATAGTGTCACGGCAGGTGTGTGCAACCGTATCCAGTGTCTCATAGTGTCACGGCAGGTGTGTGCAACCGTATCCAGTGTCTCATAGTGTCACGGCAGGTGTGTGCAACCGTATCCAGTGTCTCATAGTGTCACAGCAGCTGTGTGCTACCGTATCCTGTGTCTCATAGTGTCACGGCAGGTGTGTGCTACCGTATCCTGTGTCTCATAGTGTCACGGCAGGTGTGTGCTACCGTATCCTGTGTCTCATAGTGTCACGGCAGGTGTGTGCTACCGTATCCTGTGTCTCATAGTGTCACGGCAGGTGTGTGCTACCGTATCCAGTGTCTCATAGTGTCACGGCAGGTGTGTGCTACCGTATCCTGTGTCTCATAGTGTCACGGCAGGTGTGTGCTACTGTATCCAAAGTGCAGCAGGTCACAGTTTCCTGACGCTGGCCATCAGGGAGGTGCCCTGGGCATGTGACAGCTCCGTGCCTGTGGCGGCAGGGCCGACCTTCTCTCTGAGCGGAAGTGCGTCTCCGTCTGTCTCTGTGACAAGTCTGTCCAGCGAGGAGGTACTGTCCCTCATGACGGCAGCATATTGAATGTAGGCTTGATTCCTCCTTGTACGTTTTAAAGGGCCTGAATCTTTGGGCACAAAAACCCCAGTTCATTTGCTTTTGGGTCCTTGCCCTAGTTAGTCTTCAATCACTTTTGGTATTTAAACCCCACCCCCCACGATATTGATCTTGTAATCCTACTACATAAACTCTGACTTTTCTTTCAGCTTTCCAGGGAAGGCCTTCTCTCTTGGTGGCCTCTGGCCACGGGGTTTTCTGTGGAAATATTACCTGCAGCACTCGGCTCTCTTCCTGGACCCAGGACGGGTTATGGGCAGTTGTCTGCTCCCAAGGCTGCTGTGAGAAACACCCACAGACTCTGTGGCTCAAAACAACCCAGATGCACCACCATACGGTCATCCCACTGGCTAGCATCAGGGTGCCGGGCACCCAGGGCTGCGGCCCACAGAAGTTGGGCATGGACACTCTGGGAAGGGGGCCAGGGACGGGCGTCTGCTCCAGGCTCAGGGCGGTGGGGTTGGACGCAGAGCCGAGCGTTGCCTGCCTGTCTCCTCGCCCTCCTGCCCCGGCTCCTGTTCCTCAGCCGGCCGTGCTGTCTCCTCTCCTCCTCCGAGGGGCAGCGGTGGTCCTGCTTCTCCATCTTGTCTCACCACCACCGGTGGGCTGGCCTCCTGGCCCCCTCCCGCTGGGAGGACCCTTCGCCCTGGGAATTCAGCCTCAAATGTCTATAGAATGTCTTCATGGATTTTTAGAGCAAGAGGAAGGGAGAGGGAGACAGGGAGGGAGAAACATCAGTCCGTTGCCTCCCGCACGTGCCCACAAGGCGCCGGGAGCACCTGCCTGCTGCCACCTCCCCTGACCAGGAATCCAGCCAGCGACCTTTCGGTGCCCAGGGGCCAGGCCTGGGCCTCAGGTCTATTTCTGAACTTGCTGTTCATTAAATGTGTCTTGGTGATGTGCGTTTTCCCAGAAACTCCTTTGGAAAAGCACTGGAATGGTGGACCCCTGCGGTGAGGGTAGTAAGATTGCAAGAGGAAGTCAGGCCACGGAAGAAGGGTCGCTAGGCCAGCGGAGAGCCCTTCCTGTGGACTGACCTCGAGGAGGCCGTTCGTAGCACCCGCTGACTGTCTTCTCTCAGTACGTGGGTCCTGGGGCTGCTGATGCTCTGGGGGTGCCTTTGGCTGGCGTGGGGCAGCAGGACAGGAGGTGACATCGCTTGTTCCCAGGCGGGCGCGGACGGACCAGGTGACGGGCGCGGAGTCGCCCTGAGCGAGCGCCCACCCAGAGCAGTGGCTCCTCCCGTGGGGCCCATGTGGAAGTTGCTGGGCAGAGTGGGGTTGGGTGTTGAAAGGGAGGAATCAACGGGGAGACTGAGGAGAAGGACATCGAAGGCTCAGGAGCTGCAGGGCGAAGACCTCGGGGCAGGGGAGACGGGCCCTCCAGTCCGAGGCTGAGCCGGGGCAGGGGAGACGGGCCCTCCAGTCCGAGGCTGAGCCGGGGCAGGGAGACGGGCCCTCCAGTCCGAGGCTGAGCCGGGGCAGGGGAGACGGGCCCTCCAGTCCGAGGCTGAGCCGGGGCAGGGAGACGGGCCCTCCAGTCCCAGGCTGAGCTGGGCCGCACCCAGCAGGGATCTGCACTGTTCCTGAGACCCCTGCAGAGGGTGTGGCGGGCGAGGGCCGATGGGCGTCATGGGGCTGGTGGTGCTGAGATGGTGCCCGTGTGTCGCATGAACACAGAATGTGAACGGGGTCCACCTGAAGCCAGAGACTTGGGAGGAGGGTCTGGATGGCAATGACCATGGCCGTGGTCACCCCACCCTCCCGAAGCTGACCGGCCGGCTCCTCGGTCACAGCCCAGAGCAGAGCGGGGTCGGTTCCCGCAAGGGCGTCTCTTGGGGACCTGCAGCAGACGCACACACTTTGTGGTACGGGGGTTGGCACCTTCTTAATGTGGGAAACTCTCCTTAATGGTGGAATTCCTTTTCTCTCCCCAAATCTTACTAGAACTGTCTTATGCGTGGATCTTCAATGAATATCCCTCCTTTGTGGAAGAAGACAGCCGGAGGTTTATCTCTCAGGAGACAGGCCACCTGTACATAGCCAAGGTGGAGCCGTCCGACGTGGGGAACTACACGTGCGTGGTGACCAGCCCGGTGACGGCCAGCAGGGTGCTGGGCTCCCCGACACCCCTGGTGCTGCGGGCCGACGGTACGGGAGCCTGGCCGTGAGCACCAGGAAGCACGTGGGGAAAGAAAAAGTGTATCTGGGAGAATTATCGTTTCCTTTGTTTCAGAACAAAGGTTATTTTCAAGCGCAGGGACAGAAATGACTCCATAAACCATAGGTCCCTGCACTCAGTCCTCACTGAGGACGAGCCTCATCACGGCAGGCTGGTGCGGAAGGAGAGCGTGGGGCCCATTGTCCCAGTGGCTCCGCATCTCCGACGGCGCAGGGCCGGCCACGCCACGGAGCCCGGGACCACGCTGCTTCCGTGAGGTCGTCCGTCCCGACCCTCGCCAGCCTGAGGGGCTTTGTGACAAGATAAATTATCTCTCTAAGAAAACAAAGAGAAAGTGTGAACATTAGCTCCCCAGGACTTACGTGTCTCATAACCGAAAGTTTGTGCCCTTGGCCCAGTGTGTCCTTTTCTCAAGTGGGGTGATCACAGTTCCCAGGCTACACTGTGTCCCTGAAATGTCTAAGAGGGCAGCTTCTGCTCCTGCCACAAAGGAAATGTAACAGTGGATTAACCACGGCATCTATGGGAGGGGTTTGTGTGCTAAGTTGATTGGATCATTTTGCGTGAACATATATTAGATCATCACATTGTACAAGCGTCTACAATACAGCCTGAGCAGATACGATTTTTTTTTTTTTATCCTCACCCGAGGACATTTTTCCATTTTTTTTTGTTCCGGTAGAGTGGGGGGGGGGGGGGGGAGAGGAACAGAGAGAGAGAGAGAGAGAGAGAGAGAAACATCGATGTGAAGGGACACATCGAGTGGCTGGCACCCGCACAACCGAACAGGGCCGGGGACAAACTGCAACCGAGGCACATGCCCTTAGCGGGAACCGAACCCGGGTCTCTCAGGACCGCAGGCCGACGCTCTAACCGCTAAGCCAAACCGGCCAGGGCCAGATACGATCTTTATGTGTCAATCATACCTCAGTAAAGCTGGGAAAATGTGTTTCAATATCCCCTTCATGGCTGTTTCAAGGGAGCCCATGAGCTGCAGAGGGGCAGATTGGTAAGCCTGAGAAACTACCCCCTTACACAGAACGTATCTGAGTCGGCACCGGGCCAAGACCCGTCACCTGAGCTCTCTTCCCCGCAGTTACGAGGGAACTTGACCTTTTTGCTTTCACTTACTGTTTGTCTCCGGGGAGCCATTTACTGAGGCTGAGATTGATGTCTGTGCCACCAGGTACCATTAAGTAAATCTCCTCCCATCATTTCTGTTCTTGAGGGTGTTTCAAGGAGTCATAACGTGCAGTATATTTTAGTTTGACTAGAAATGTCCCAATCGGCACAGAACACCAGAGGCTCCCATTTTATGTAACGGAAGAAGCGTGGCGGTGTTCTCGGGGCGGTCACGTGCACAGTCATTTCTGAGCCTCGGGAACTGAGGGCGTGTGTCACTGTGGCTCCTTGGCCAAGTCAGCCCAGGCCCTGAACGCACCGGGCGGAAGGGGTGACGGAGTCCTGGGCAGAGCTGGTCCAAAATGCAGCAAGAACGTTGCATTTCAGGAAACAGGGACGGTTCCGAAGGACCCGGTGAAACTGTTAACTCGTGTTGTGGGCCTACAGGTGTGATGGGGGAATATGAACCGAAGATAGAAGTTCAGTTTCCAGAGACTCTCCCGGCCGCCAAAGGCTCCACCGTGAACCTGGAATGCTTTGCCCTCGGAAAGTAAGTCCTGCCCCACTCGGTCCGACCGGCCGGGGGGGCTTCTGACGGTTTCTTCTCCCGATTTTCTGTTTCTTTTCCACCTCGAGCAGCGGTTCCCAACCTTCCCGATGCCGCGACCCTGTAACAGGTCCTCCTGCTGTGGGGACCCCAACCATAGCGTTCTTTTCGCTGCTACTTCGTAACTGTGATTTTGCTGCTGTGATGTCTTAGGCGACCCCTGTGAAGGGTCGTTCGACCTCCAGAGGGGTCGCGGCCCACAGGTTGAGAACCGCTGGTCTACTGGCGAAGCGAAAAGAAAGCACAGGGAGACGCAGACAGAATTTAGTCTGAAACGTCAAGGTGTTTGCGGGAAACGCCTCCGCCTGATTTCGGGAACTAAATCGGTGTCAGTTTCTGTTCATCTGCCGACGCCCAGGGTGCGGTAGACCTTGTACACCAGATCTTGAATGAACTCGAGGAAATGCAGCTTCTATTTCGTTACGCTTGGACGCAGAGGCCCGGCGCTGGGCCTGTGTGACTGGCAGCTGGCCGGAGCCCGCGTCTCTCTCCACCCAAACCCACGCTTGCGCTTTGTCGAGCCAGGAGGGCTCCCGACTTCCGGTTACGGTGGCAGCTAAGGTGAGGCTTCTCTCCGCAGCCCCGTCCCCCAGATCACGTGGAGGAGAGGTGATGGGCTGCCGTTCTCCAGCAAAATTAGGTCGCGGAAGTTCGGCGGGGTGCTCCAGATCCCCAACTTCCAGCAGGAGGATTCGGGCTCCTATGAGTGCGTCGCGGAGAACTCCCGGGGCAGGAACGTGGCCAGAGGGCGCCTCACGTACTACGGTGGGTGTGCCATGACGGGGCGCGGGGGCACGGGGGCGCGGGGGCACGGGGGCACGGGGGCACGGCAGAGTCCAGGGTCCAGGGTCCGGCTGGAAGGGAGCAGGGATCTGCAGTTGGAGGCAGGCTGCATTCACTTTGCATTTTTCAGTGATTCATGGGATAATGAAATACTTCACTTTCTCTTCTGAGAATAACCTTTCAGACACGTAACCCAATCAAGAGGAGACGCCTTGGCTAGGAAGGGGGTTGGGTATGTTTATTATCTTCACTAAGCAGAAGGGGGGACTGCGGGGGACTCTGCCGGCCCTGGACCCCTCCGAGCGGCATGTCCCTCGGCGATACGGCCACACGCCGCCTGGGACGCGTCTGCACCTGTACCTGATGTTCCGGAGGGGAGAGGAAAACAGTGTTACCTTGTTCTAGAATCTGTTTGCAGGAAAATTAGATTTTTTAAATTCAAAATGTGTTTCCAAATATCTTTTATTAAAAAATATCCTCGGTTTTTGGTGAGAGCATGACTTAGAAAATCGAAGTGGATGGTTTTATGAAACACGCTGCTGAGCGTCAGCAGCATCTCGGCGCCGGTGGGGACTGACCGCCTGTGAGGAGCCGCCTGCTGACCTGGTTGCCTCAGAAGCTGGAGCTGAAGCAGCTCTCGGGGCTCAGTAGGCGGCTCTCAGTGTCCAGGGACGAGAAAGCCCACAAAAACGGTGCGGCCTGGTGTGACCCCGAGGAAATCTGGAGGGAGCACGGGCACCATCCTGACCCGGCGGACAGTCGGGAGTGACGGGGACGCTGCACACCTGGGTCAGGCAGCAGCACCAGGTGCAGGACACAGGGGTCCCGGCCCACGTGCTGGCGGGAGACATGCTGATGGGCGGGGCCTCTTCCCCTGTGGCCTCCGTGCTCTGAGCCTCAGGCCACCCCAAGCAAGTCCTGTGGTCCCATATCAGCTTAGTCCCTCCTTCCCAGGCAGCCACTGGCCCAGGGTAGAGAGTGACCCACCCAGGACGGTGACCCCCCCAGGACGGTGACCCACCCAGGAGAGTGACCCACCCAGAACGGTGACCGACCCAGGACGGTGACCCACCCAGGACGGTGACCCACCCAGGACAGTGACCCACCCAGGACTTTGACCGACCCAGAACGGTGACCCCCCCCAGGACGGTGACCCCCCCAGGACGGTGACCCCCCCCAGGACGGTGACCCCCCCAGGACAGTGACCCCCCAGGACAGTGACCCCCCCAGGACGGTGACCCCCCCAGGACGGTGACCCACCCAGGACGGTGGCCCCCCCAGGACGGTGACCCCCCCAGGACGGTGAGCCCCCCAGGACGGTGACCCCCCCCAGGACGGTGACTCCCCCAGGACAGTGACCCCCCAGGACAGTGACCCCCCCAGGACGGTGACCCCCCCAGGATGGTGACCCACCCAGGACTGTGACCCACCCAGGACGGTGGCCCCCCCAGGACGGTGACCCCCCCAGGACGGTGAGCCCGAATCAACCACAGACGATGCAGGCAGAGAAGCCAAAGCTGAGTTGGGTTGTTCTGCTACCTGATGCTCAGCTCTGGCTCCGCTTTTCTGAGATTTTTTTCTTGTTTTCATCGATCTGTCTTTTCCCTTCCTCTGCGTGTTAGTTTCATGAGAGTCACAAAGAGGTGTCCAGCAGTGTCCAGCATGTCTGCCCTGGTCCCTGTCCTTCCTCCCAAGCCCCTGACTTCCCTTCTGTGCCGACCCCTCCCCGCCAAGGAGACGGGCTTCGTTTCCGAGACTGTTCGGAACGGGATGAGGTGAGGTGTCCCTGGATTTCACGGCCAATGTGAGATGATGGAAGAGAGGGTGCCTCTTGGGGAAACGGGTTATTTTAGGGCAGCCTCCACCACCCTGTGGTGGGTAAGGAGGCGGATCATGGCTCCAGTCCCGGGACGTGTGTGCCTCCGACACCAGCGACAGTTCCATGAAAGTCACTCCAGTTACCTGGTTATTTGCCCTGATGTTTTACGTTTAAAATGGTCTCCTGGAGCGCGGGGTCTGCTCCGCCGGCACAGGGTCTCACACCGACGTGTGGGTGGGCTGCAGATGGCACCCCACCCTCACGGGGAGCCGCAGAGGGGCCACAGGAACCGAGTGTCCGTCAGGGGCTTCGGTTTGCGGGGTCACTGCCCCAGGCCGCCGAGCTCCGGGAGAAGAAAACGCGTCTTAACGCAAAGAAGTGATTTCGGCCTGAACTGTACCCTTCAGCCCGGGCAAGACGTTCACGTGCAGAGAAGGAAACACAGTAACGTAAAACTTAGGTCCAATTTCTCTAGACACTGAATCGCTGTTTTCAGCTCAATTTCCCTGTTTTAAGAAGCAATTTTATGAGATAGAAATGGAAACACAGGTCTTCCCGGGGCCGCAATTAAGTAGAAGTAGTTTCTCCAAGTGGAGGGTGCAGGCGGGAGCCGCCCACACACGCACACGCATGATCCGGAGCCGGTCCGACATCCCGCCCGGCCTGGGTCTCGGGGCCGGCGGAGCCCAGCGCCTTCCGCTGTGGGTGGGAGCTGCTTCCTTTGCAAATTACACCTCCTGGAACGTAAGTGAGATGTTAGCTCGCTGCCGGAACTGACCGGCACGTAATTAGAGGGTGCGGTTCCTCTTCTTCCATAAAAACCTCACAGCATCCAGATTAGACCAGTTCATCCATTTCTCTGTTGGTTCGTGCCCCCAGCGGGAACCGACCCCGGGACTCTCTGGTCCGCAGGCCGACGCTGCGGCCACTGAGCCCACCCGGCCGGGGCTCTGCCTCCATTTTAATTCGCACAGAGGCTCCTGAGATGCTCACTGGTTCATATTTAATTAAGTTACTTGTAAGTTGGAGGAAATATTCCTCCCTTGGCTACGGAAGCTTCTCGCCTTGGGATGGGAATTTTTAGTGCACAATTAGACCAGTCTCTGCCGTCATCCACACATCAAGGTGCCACCAGGGTGATCTCGCGACTCAAAAGCACACTTGGAAATGAAACTGCTCTGTGCCCCTGTGTGACCGCCGACGCGTAGACACCGGAGAATGTTCCGGAAAGCACAGCGTTTGCAAACAGACCAGGCGTGAAGCGTTGGCGTAGGAAGTGCAGACGGCCACCCCAGTCCTCAGATCGGGAGACACCCCGAGACCCACAGGGTAAACCCGGGGGACACGGGCTGCGTCCCAGGCCGTGCTCACCTCGCCCCTGGCTCGCGGCCGTGCACCGTCCACACTGTCGCGGGAGGTGTTCGCTCGTCCTTTGCTGGGAGGTCTGAGGGGTCCATTCCGTTGCAGCGAAACCCCACTGGGTCCAGCTCATCAGAGACGTGGAGACGGCCGTGGGGACCAGCCTTCGCTGGGAGTGCAGGGCGAGCGGGAAGCCCAAGCCCTCCTACCGCTGGCTGAAGAACGGGGAGGCCCTGGAGCTGCAGGTGAGGCCAGGCCCCGGAGCCCGCCCTGCCCGTGTGTGCGGTGGGGGGGAACCGTCACCAGTGGGAGGGGCTCGACCCTGCATTTCACTGGGAAAGGGCGACTGTGACTTTAGTCTGTAAAACCATATAAGGCTGCTTCGGTCTGAAGGGGGAGGAGCCTGACCCAGGCAGGTGCGGGATGTGCCCCTTTCCTGTGGCGCCGGCGCAGCCTCAGGGAACAACTGAGTCTCCCCTCACTGCCTGTCACACGGGTGTGTGTCCTCCGGCCTGGCGTGTGTTGCTCTCGTTAAATCGTGTCCACGGTCAGGAATGTTCTTTCCGCTCTGTGCACAGCATGGTTCACACCAGCGGAAAGCCTTCCACGCATGTGTCTCCCAGGACGTTAAAGTCTTTAATCGGCACGATTTAAAAGCGGTGAAAAGCGTTCTAGGTGATGCGCTGAAGGCCGGCGCGGGGCTCAAGGCCCGCAGTCTGACCGTGAGGGACAGTCCACGGCTGCGCAGTCCCCTCCTGCTTTGTTACGAACCTCGGGGCTGTCCGTGGACTGAGGGCGTCTGTCACTGTTTCCAACATGCGGCCGTAGTGTTCACTCCGTCTGACATTTCACAGAAGGGAGTTCGCACGTCGAGTCAGGCAGTCTGGTCTCCCGAGGCAGCTGGGGGTGGTGTGAAGAGTCCCCGTGCGGGCGTCCGTGTGGCCCGGATGCGTGTGAGCCGTTCTGTCCCGTCCAGGAGCGGATCCAGCTGGAAGACGGGGCACTGACCATGTGGAACCTGAGCGTGGCGGACTCGGGCATGTTCCAGTGCATCGCGGAGAACAAGCACGGGCTGGCCCACTGCAGCGCCGAGCTCAGGGTCGTGGGTAAGCGGCCGCGGGTCGGGCCCTGTGCAGAGGCGGGTCCTCCCGGTTACGTCCCCGCGTCTGCCGTCGGCCGCAGTCGGTGGGGTTGCAGTCAGGCCCGTGTTCCAGTGACCCCTTCCTGTAGCCCTCGCCCGAGGACACACTTGCATCGATTTTTAGAGAGAGGGGGAGAGAGAGAGGGAGAGAAATATATCGACGTGAGATAGAAACATCCATTAGCTGCCGCCCTACGAGCCCCAGCCGGGGGTTAAACCTGCGACCCGGCAGGTGCGCGGACCCGGAATCAAACCTTTAGGTGCAGGGGGAGCTCAGCCCACTGAGCTCCCGGCCAGGGCATCGGGGACGCTAAGGAGAAGCAGGGTCAGGGCAGGAAGAGCCCACAGGTGAAGTCAGGACAGCGGCTGGGGAGGCGGTGCTGACCGTGGCCTGCTGACCTGACTCAGTGTTCCCGCGACGAAGCCCCCGGGGACGTGTGACCTTGGTGTCTCTGCTGCTGGGCCACGGCAGGGCCGGCCAGACACTCCAGTGGCAGAAAAGTCCAACCATAACTGAGAGAGTAGCGTAAAGGAGGAAGGAGGAAGGAAGGAAGGAGGAAGGAGGAAGGAAGGAGGGAGGAAGAAGGGAGGGAGGGAGGGAGGGAGGAGGGAGGAAGGTGGTTGGCAGATCCCGCAGTCAAAATGAACCTTGGGTTTCAGCACTGCCTGGCCCAGGACTCATCGCCCCGCCGTTACCGGGCTCCACACTGCTCCCCGTGCGCTCAGGTTCCATGACCAGGGTCCGTCCGGGGGGAGGGGGACTCTTACCGGCCCAGTGGAAGTCACAGTCCTGCCTGTCCCCGGCCCACAGGGTGGCTGGGCCACGTCCCCATGGCCGCCCCATCTGCATGTCCCAAGTGGACGGTCCGGGCTGAGCTAACAGCCTCCTCCACAGGGGACGGTTTGCTCCAGGGACACTGGGAAGGGTCTGGGGACGTTGTGGGTGTCACGAGGTGAGGGGAGGTGGCAGCAGGCTGGTGCTCCTGGCAGCTTGTGGGCTGAGGCCAGCGAGGCCGCTGAGCATCCTGCAAAGATACCCAGGGGAGGGCCTGTCACAGCAAATGGCCCAGCCCGATGTCACGCCACCTTGGGAAATCCTGACTTAACAAAGCCGGCGTGTCAGCCCGTGTCTGGGGGTAGAAAACTGTCCTCTGCCCCCGAGGATGGACTCGGCTGAGAAGCTGGGCTGTGTCCTCCTGGGCCCTGGGCTGTGTCCTGGGCCCTGGGGCTGTGTCCTCCTGGGCCCGGGGCTGTGTCCTCCTGGGCCCTGGGCCCTGGGCTGTGTCCTCCTGGGCCCGGGGCTGTGTCCTCCTGGGCCCTGGGCTGTGTCCTGGGCCTGGGGCTGTGTCCTCCTGGGCCCGGGGCTGTGTCCTCCGTGACACGGGCAACACCCTGTTGTCATCTCAGGAAACGAACTTACAGAAATGGTCAATGTTTCTAATTTTAATAAACTCGGGATTGAGCTATTTTAAAACTTCACAGTAAACTTTTGTTTATTTGTTTGTTTATTGAATCCCCTCACCCAAGGATATTTTTCCATTATTTTTTTTCTTTAAGAGAGAAGGAGAGAGACACATTGACTGGTTCCCTCCTGCCAACCTGACTGGGGCCAGGGATTGAACCCGCCACTGACCGGGGATCGAACCCACAACTCTTTGGTCCCGCAGGCCAATGCTCTAGCCACTGAGAAAACCAGCCGGGGCCCACGGTAAACTTTTAAAACTTCCGTGTAAAGGCCCTGTCTCGAGAGCTCCAGCCGGGCTGGTGTCCGCTTCAGAGTCAGCCTTAGAAATCTGAGACCTGAACGGGTTGGACCAGACGCCGACCCCCCTCCCCTGTCCTCTCTCCTCTGCAGCTTCCGCCCCAGATTTCTCCAGGACCCCGATGAAGAAGCTGGTCCGGGCGCAGGTGGGCAGTGAGGTCGGCCTGGACTGCCGGCCCCAAGCCTCGCCCAGGGCCGCGTCCTCCTGGAAGCGAGGTGCCCAGACCGTGCGGGGCGACAGCAGGTATCTGCGAGGGTCACCTGCTGGCTTCTGAGACCGTCGAACAGCCAGTTACATCATCAGCAAAACGGGTTTCGTGGGGGTAGCCCGGGGACGCCCCTGGGCGCCCTCCCAGGGTCCGGAACAAACAAGCTGGATTCCTAACGAGGGGGGGGCTGGTGGGGGGCTGTTGGAAGAGCTCAGGGAGGCGGCAGCTTCTCCTGGGCTGGGTGTCCCTGGAGCCCAGCCCGAAGGCCACCAGCTCGAGAGGTTCGGGTGATGACTGACGAGGTGGGTGTCCCGCTGGGCGAGGGGGGGTTCTGCCCTCCCGAGCAGCCCCGGTCCGTCCTGTTCGGGGTCCGGGGGGCCGTGCATCCAAGTCAGGCTTCCGACTCTGTTCAAGGAGGTTCCGGTATTTCCAGCTCACCTAAGTGGCTTTCAGTCGGGAGTGAACTGCAGTCGCGTCTCAGTAAACAGTGAGGCATTTAAGCACCAGGCAGACTCCTGTTCAGTGACCCTCTTCTGGTGACAGTGGTCAGTCCTTGAAATCTAAAAGTAGACTCCCTCACCCCTTCCCTCATGAGTCCTCTATGTGAGGGCTCCCCCCTGTCCCCGGTGGGACTGGGTGACAAGGAAGCCCAGCCCGCGCCCGGCTTGGAGGGGCCGGTGGCCCAGGACAAACAAGGTGACGGGTGGACCCCAGTCCTGCTGTGGCCCTGGGTGAAGACAGCTCGGCATCCCCGGTGTTGGTTCAGGGAAACCTCTTGGTCCCTGGTTTTCATAACGACATTTAAAAAGAAGAGGTGGGATGCGGCCCCGTTGAAAGCCCGGATCCGGAGCCGCGTCCTGCTCCCTCGCTAACGGGAGGATGTGGCGCCCACTTCGCCCGGAGGTCGGCGTGTGGGGAAACGTGAATGTCCAGGGCGCCAGGCCGGTACCTGGCGGAGAAGCCCCGCTGCTCCCTCCTCACTGAGTGGTGCTCAGGCCGGGGGGCGGGGGGCGGGGGCTCCGAGGTGCTGACAAGCAGAATGACGCCCCCACGACGTCCACGTTCCTCCTCTGCAAACCTGTGAGCACACTGCCGGACCTGACAGGATAACTGGAGTTGAAGGTGGAATTAGGGGGCCACGCAGGTGACTTTAAAACAGGAGAAGGTCCTGGTTCCCTGGGGGCTTCCGGCACCACCTGAGCACTGAACGGGCGAAGGAGCAGGAGGCGTCCGGAGGCGTCTGCTAGTCACTGAGGTGGCAGGAAGGCTCTCGGGAAGGAGAGGGGCCCGGCGGGGATCTCTGGCCTTGACGATGGTGACAGGGGCCGTAGGGAAAGGCACTTCCGACTGCCCTGCCGGACGGGACAGCCCGCTGCCGACAGCCTGCAAGGAACCAGGCACCTCAGTCCCACAACCACAAGGAGCTGATCCCACCAAGACCTGAAGGAGCCCCATCCTGACAGCACCCGGTTTCAGCCCAGTGAGACCGGCTGGACCTCTGAGCCCCAGAACTATGGGGTGATCAGTCTGTGTTGCTTTAACAGGCCACAGTAATTTGTAATAAAAGGAGCCAGCGAACACGGGTCGACACGCACGATATCCTGGAACTGCCTCTGCCTGCCACCTACGGGTCCTCTATTCATCTCTCTGCGGAGGAGAAAACCGGCGAAATGGCGTCATCGGCCCAAAGTGACCTGGTCAGGACTTGCGTCCAGGTCTGTCGGACCCTGGGACCTAAGCCCCACGGTTCTTCAGTGCCGGGGACCCAGGAAGTTAGAGGGGTCACTGCTTTTGAGCTGGAGCCGAATCACTCCTCTTGGTGATGAGGAAGAAACAGACGGAGAACCAGCCCAGGAGCTGCGGATCCTTCTCCAGGATGACAGTCTGCGGACAGCGGGTTGACTTTAGATGACAGGCGGGCGGGGTCTCTGCGGGCTGGCCCTTCCCCGCCTGCAGGCCACCAGGGTCCGGGAGGCGCCGCCCCTGAGGGACGAGGCGGAGCCCTGCGCCCGGGTCCCACCACCCCGGGTATTTGAGGCACAGAGCAGGTTTGTGCAGCGGAACTTGTCTGCGAGCCTGTTCAGTCAGGCAGGCTTGTGGCTCAGATGCCTTCATTTGGACTCTGCTGGAAGCTAAGCCTTCCTGTGGAAACGCTGACATTTTTGTGGTTCCATTTTTTAATCACTTTAATTGCACATGTAAATTAAGCAGTGACTGTGTCCTGAGGACCTTCCGTGCTTTGCACAATAATAAACACGTGTCCTCACCACCGCGCCGCAGCAGGCGGGGGTTTTCCATCTCAGGTTTGAAAGGGGATTAAGCAGATGAAGAGATTTACCTAAAAGCGTTCAGGGGAGGGTTCCTCCCACAGACAGACGCAGAGCGCAGGGAGGGGCCGACTTCCAGAACCTCCCCTGGAGCCCCTCACTGGGCGCTTGTTCATTGCTGTCCTCCGGTCCGTTGAGAGACGCCACGGAATCGTGTCCCCGGCACACGGGAGAGAGGATTCCTGCCTCGCGTGGTGGCCGTGACCTGGGCCCTCAGCGTGAGGTCCGATGTCTGCAGACACACCGGTCAGTAACCCTGGCCGGGCACCAGGCTTTCTGTGTGTGGTGGGGCCGCTCGCTGCTGTTTGGCGTCTGGAGGTGGGTGGTCAAGGTCACCTGGAGCCGCTGTCATCGGGCTGCAGGCCCCCTGACCTTCCTGCTTCTCGTCCTGTCCTCACTCGGCAGACACACGAGAGCCCGCCTCCCCCCGGGCTCCCGTCCCATCGGGGAGCCTCCACCTGCTACCCGGTCACCTCCTAGGGCCCCATCTCCACTTACGATCACCCTGGGGTGAGGATTTCAGTTAGGAATTTGGGGGCTCCGGCATTCACACCTCGGCACCTGAGCTGGTGGTTCGGATTTGCTTTTCCGTCTTTGGTGGCAAAAGCCCCGAGGAGCCAGGTCCCTGTCACTCGGCTGCCCTGCCGCTGGCTGATCCTCCAGCCGCGTGGCGTCCGTGGGCTCGGCATCGCGCCAGCGGACCCAGGCGTGACCACGTCGGGAACCACTGTGCACGGTGGACTCATGGGAACTGATCAGAATCTTATTCTGGGGACAAACGAATTCATTGATGTATTTGAAAATATAAGAGAAAGCAAAAGTTTTTGATAGGGTAGGTAGGGCAGGATTTAAAGTCCACTCATTATTTTAGATTTTTGTTGTTCTTGTCTTGGGAGACGAACTCGGGCTTCTCCACACACAAGGAAATTCTGATGAACAGAAATGCTTGTGCCCCGCGTGGGCGGCTGGTGGCAAATGCACTTTGGATTCAGCCAGTGCGCACGTCTGTGGTATGATAGATGGACAGATACAGAGTCACGTGTCTGTCTGTCTGTCCATGGTTTGTCTGTCTGTCTGTCTGTGGCACCAGGCAAAGCCTCCGCCGGAGAATGATTCCAAGAGCGACGTGTCTGTACGGACGGTGAGGTAACCGTCTCTGTGAACCACACAGTCCGTGTCCACACTCACCGTCTGCCTGGTCTGTGAGCTTCCGTCCAGCTCACGGCCAGCGCCGGGGTCTGCATCGGCCACAGTACCGCGGACCGAAGCCAGGGAGGCTCCCAAGTCACAGGACCGTGCTGAACAGTCCGCGCGTGTCGTCGGGTGGAGGGGGCATCTCCCGCCGAGGTCGCGGGGGTGGTGAGTTCCCAGCGAAGTCTCAGAAATGCCGCTCTGAGCAGACACCAGGGTTCACGTGCAGAGGGACGGAGCCTCCGCGTGACTGCCGGTTCCTTCGTTTGGAGGTGCGCGGTGTGCCCGCCCCTCAGTGCTCACTGTCAGACACGCACCCCGTCGTTCTCGGTTTTACAACCTCATCTGGACGCCTGACGGTTGCTGTGCATGAGGAAGTCATTTATTGAGTCAGCTTGAGTCGGAGGGTGTGCCGCACCGACGGTCGTGCTGAACTGGGAAGCTGCTGGCGTTCGTACGGAGCTGTGTCGGTGGCTCTGTCTGCGGACCTTTCTCCTTCGTCTTCCTGTGTCGTCCGTTACCGAGAAGAAGTTAGGCCCTTCTCCCGTGGAGTCAGCAGCTCTGAGCCAGCGAGACCTGCTCCTCGAGAGCGTCCGCAGGGCTTCAGTGCCGTGGCCTGTGTGCAGTTCCTCTGGCCCACGTGTTCTCGAGACTCGAGTGACAATGGGAGGCGGCCCCTCCTTTGAGCCAAGTACAAGGGGAAGACCTGGGAGAATGAGACCAGGCGTGGTCGGCCCACAGGAAGCAGCCGCCCGCAGTGCGTGTGGACCGTGTCTGGTCTTCTCCGCGTCACTTAACAGGGTTTAAAATACACTCGCCAATTTTTTTTCTTTTATCCTCACCCGAGGACATTTTTCCATTTTTGCTCAGACAGAGAGGAAGAGAGAGAGAAACATCGACGTGAAAGGGACACATCAATTGGCTGCCACCCGCACGGCCAACCAGAGCCGGGAACAAACTGCAACCGAGGTACGTGCCCTTCGCGGGAACCGAACCCGGGTCTCTGGACCGCAGGCCGACGCTCTAACCGCTGAGCCACACCGGCCAGGACCTGCAATTACTTTCTAAATGGCGCCTTCACTTGAACGCTGCTCACAGTGTTTTGTTGCAGTGGCCTTAATTCAGAAGAGAGTCAACGGGCCGTTGCTTCTAATTAAACACATTAAATTTGTTTTATGTTCAAGGCAGCACTTAATACTAGAGAAACTTAAATACTTGTGAGAAAGAAATAGTGAAGATTTCTCCCAAATGTCAGCGGCCCCGACGCAGACAGTGTAGTGACCAGTCCTCGGTGTCCATCTTGCCCAGAGTCAGAAGCTGGTTTTGAAATGCGGTCGGCGTTGCCCGCTGTGGGTTCTGTCTCTGGGACGTGCCTGAGAAAGGCCGAGCTCTGGGGCAGAAACCTGCCCGCCGGGGCCGGAGCGGGTGGAGGGGCGTTCGGGGAGTTCTCCCAGACTTGATTGTGACCGAGAGTGCAGGACCCCACCCCTTGTTAAAACTCCCAGAACCGAGCCCCGGAAGAGGTGACTCAGCCTGTGGGTAGAGCCCTCCACGTCTCCAGACGAAACGACACGCGGTCTCCCCTCCGCCTGGTCCTGCTGCCACCAGGAGGCCATGTACCCCTGAACCCCAAGGAATGCGCCCCGGAGGTCACCATCGCCGTTTGGGGAACAGCGCCTCGTCCACGCAAGGGGATCTCTCCGGAGCAGAATCTAAACTCTTGCCCGTCGGTGGATAACCGGCCAGGGAGAGGCCCCGTCACTCGGGCCGGGCCGCTGGGCGCCGGTCTGCTCTGAGGGCGTCGGAGCCGGGTGCCCACTCTCCGTGCGGCTCCTCCCTCGGCTCCGGCTCTCCCCTGAGAGGGGCTCGGCTGCAGGACAGGCTCCGTCTCCGCCGGCCCCCATTCCCCCGCGTCTCTGGGCTCCTCTTGCTCTAATTACAAGGGAGCCCGCTTTTCATCTGCTCGTGCTGTCCTCGTCTGTCCGCCTTGCCTCGTCCCCCTTCCCTCCCTCTGCGGGTGCCCAGAGCCCTCACAGGACACAGTTGAGGTGCCCCCGCCTCAGGCACACGGCAGAGAGCTCGGCTGACACTCTGCGCCTGTGCCTTGGCTCCCGGTCAGTCTCCAGCAGCTGCACTTTCCAGAACGAGGGTAAGTTGCATAGAGTGTGTGTCAGGACCTGGGTGCTGGTTGGATGGAGACTGATGTCCTGGGTCCTGTCTGCAGGGAAGGGGCTCACCCTGCCTGCCAGCTTGTCTTCACTCAGCACAGGGAGCACGCAGGTGAACGAGAAACAGCACCAGCCCCCCAGGAGCCCACGGTGCAGGAGCCCACGGTGCAGGAGCCCACGGTGCAGGAGCCCACGATGAAGGTGCCCACGGTGCAGGAGCCCACGGTGCAGGACCTACATAAGCCAGTAAGAAGTGCAGAGAAGTTCTGTGCAGCCCTGGGCCATGGGGGGCGGATCTGAGGACATGACCTTGGAGCTGCTGCAGGACCTGTGGACGCGAGCACAGCTGACGACTGGAGGAGATGCCCCCTGAGCAGGAGGGCTGCACAGACTGGAAGGGAAACTGGTTTCATCCCAGGTGCGTCTGGTGAAGCTCACGCGGCCTGGGAGAGAAGCAGCTGGCGCTGAGGGTTCCCCAGATGGAGGCCGTCTCTCCCCGCACGGAGCGGACACTGGAGGGTGATCCTTGTCCTCACAGGGGAGCTGGGGATACCGGGGAAATGTGTGGGGTCCCAGGAAGTACGGAGCAGCCCTGGCCCTCCCTGGGCTTTTCACTGTACCCCTACTTCGCTGACACCCCCAGCTGGGAGAGGAAGGGAGTGTCCTGGCCCGTGACTCACCCTTTGAGAAGACAAAGCACATATTTGAGGGAATGAAGATCGTCCTGGGAGGAGTCGGTATCATCTAAGACTTGGGGTTTGGAGTGGGCTCGTGGGAAAGCACCCTCACCCCTTCCTCTCTCCCTACCCCTGCCCCCGCCCGCCCTGTTCACACAGGCTGCTCACGTCTGTGAGCGTCTGTGCCATCGTGTCCCTGAGTTATTCTTGCCTGAGTGTGCGCCGTGCCCGCCGTGCCGTGTGGGGTGGCGTCAGCTGTGCGCTCTATGTGCTTCTTGATCACCTCTAGCCCAGGGAAAGAGCAGAGCATCCAAGTTGGAAAGACGAGGTCACATTGTGGGTCTGCCGCTTCCCGCCCAGGTGCGAAGTCACACCAGTCGCGAGCCCGAGTCTTGGTTTCTTTCTTCGTGAAACGGGCCGGAAAGGCCTGCGTGGCCGGGCTAGTCGCTGTCTTTGGGGGCATTTTCTTGCAGGAGGGTGGCTGACCGTCCGGTCTCCGTGGCTGACAAAGGACGGGGCTCCCTTTGGACAAACTTCTTCCAGCTCCGCCCCATTTCTCCCAGCCTGACGCCCCCGTCTGACCCGGTGACGAGTGGCAAAGGTAAACCCAAATCCTGATGTGAGGTTCGTGCTCTGGGGCTCCCCGCAGGGTCCCCGACGTGGCCCTGCAGCTGCCGGCGTCTGTTCTCATCGAAGCGACAAGAGCGGGCTCCGAGGACGAGATACGAGCGAAGACCTTCACCCCTCACAGTGCTCAGAGGAGCTCGGCGTCCCCCGAACCTCCTTAAATAAATAATTCTCCCCAATTATTAAAGAAACCGCTGTTTCCAAACAGTTTCTAAAATCGTATCAGCTCAGTTTCACAGGTCACCATGTGGCTGCTAAATCCGTATTTCAAACGTGCCTTTTCGGGAGCAAACAAATTAAGGCCACTTGTAAGATATTTTGGCAACGTTATGATTTTGCAGTAGGGGAAGCTGGTGCGTGAATCTGCTTCAAACCTCTTTCTTGTGCAAACTGGATATGTTATGTTACTTTGTATCCGTGCTCAGCAGGAAAGTTTCCTTCGCTGGGTGTGTCTGTCCAGACCCGTCCATCGGTCACACTGTGTTTCCCTGCCGCCCGGCCCCCGCCCTGCAAACTCACACGCGTTACGGCCTTGGTCTCACGAGTTACTTAGAATCATTGACGTAATCAGACGCCAGCCATGTCCTTTGAACGTCCTTTTAGATCTAAGTCTACTTGAGGAAGAAAAACTGTCGTCTCTGTTATAATAACTTCAGCTCCAGGTGTGTTTATCGGGACAGACATGCGTTCGCAAAGGTTCTATGAGACTTACAGCGATGACCCTTCATTGCCGATTCTCGGGAATCGTGTGAAACGCTGCCGTCTCCTGGCTCTCGGTGCCGCCGGGCCTGTGTCTCGGGACCTCGGCTGCTGGTTCCGCGTGACGTGTGTCCACCAAGCCTCAGAGCCTGCCTGTGAGCCGGTGTTCACCCCCACGGGGTCATTACCTGCGAATCTCCTCTTGTCCTTGGAGACGTCTGTCCGGTGAATCACACACTGACACAGTCGAACTTATAAGTCCAGAGCCCATAACAGTGCGGTTTCCTAAGAGCCTGGGGTCCTCCTTGCACTCGGGGAGTCGGTGGCCTCGGGGCATCGGGGGAGGCAGCTGGGATGGTGGTGGTCTCAGGAAGTGGTGTCCAAACGGCCGTGTTACTTCCTTCACTGTCGCTGGGTCTCGGGGGTCCCGTGTGACCCACCCCACCGAGACCTGCACCTGAGGGGTGGGGCTGAACGTACATATTCCCGAGCATAACCCCTGACCTGTGCCACCCAGAGCCTGTCCCTGGGGGTCCCGCCTCGCGCACGCGGGAGCCCAGAGCCCTGCGAACATGGGTCTGTGCGCACACCCTGGCCTCGGTGCCGCTCGGGTCGGAGCGGCCGCTCGCGGGGACGGTTGAACGTCTCCTGTCGAATCTGCACATTCCTGGGCGAATGGGCCTCGCCCCGATTCAGGACAGGAGGCCAGCGAGCCCCTTGTTGCTCAGATACGGCTTCACATGCAAGGGAGATGGCGTCAGGCTGCTTCTATGTCCTCCGGAGCGAGGAGGCTGAGCCGCGTGCTCTTGGGAAACATCCACTTGTGTGATGCCGGAACCTCCCAGGTCGGGCGTGGGGTCCCGCCCAGGGGTCCCGGGCCTGCGCTCCCCCTTTTCTGTGCCCCCCAGGAGGCCTTCAGAGTCCCAGCTGCAACCCACACTTCTGCCAAAACCGCTTCTCGTTTGATGAAAAAGGTGGCGACACGTTCATCTGGCTTCTGTTCCCCTCAGAATTTCCTTTCGGAAGGACGGGGGGCTCAGCATAGCCAACGTGACGAAAGCAGACGCCGGCGTGTACACCTGCCTCGCGGAAAACCAGTTCGGGAGTGCCAGCGACTCCACACACCTGGTCGTCACAGGTGCGTCCGCGGTGGGCGCTGGGCGTCACGGTCGGGGGAGGGCTCCCCGCAGCGGGTGGAGGGGTCACCTGTGCCCCCCGAGGGAGCGGCTCTCGGCGTCCCTGGGGCCCCAACGGGTGGAGGGCGCCTGTGCCCCCCGAGGGAGCGGCTCTCAGCATCCCTGGGGCCACAGCGGGTGGAGGGGGCGCCTGTGCCCCCCGAGGGAGCGGCTCTCGGCGTCCCTGGGGCCGCAGCAGGTGGATGGAGGGGGCGCCTGTGCCCCCCGAGGGAGCGGCTCTCGGCGTCCCTGGGGCCGCAGGGCACTGGGAGCATGTCAGCCACCGTGCTGCGGACCCTCATCGGGTGACGCTGTCGCTCCGTCAGGCGTCGGGGAGCTCTTTCTCCTCCTTGGTGGTTTCGGGAGACGTTCCGTCCATGGGGGGCCCCTGCTATGAGCTGTGGGTGTGTCTTGTTCCTCTGCTCATTCAAGGACAACCGAGCCCTACGGGGGCCGGAGCTCAGGTCGTCTTGTGGCCGAGACGGGGGGGGGGGGGCTGCCCTGTGAGGGGACCTCCCCGTGGGGTCGCAGAGGCAGGAAAATGGGAAACATGGAAGGGGAACCGCGCACAGTCAGAACCACAGGGAGATGCAGAAGGGGAGCTGGGCAGAAACCCCAAGTCGGCCCCCACGGAGCAGACCAGACGGAGGTTCTGGGGAGACGGGCTGGGGCTCCTGGGGACCAGCTTTGCTGACCTCGGTCAGGCTGCAGCTCGGACTTGGGGTGAAGAGGTGGTGGCGCCCAGCAGAGGGTGACGTGAGGCGGAGGACGGACGGACGGACGGACAGACGGGGTGGAGGCAGAGGTCCCAGGACACCAGGCAGGAGGGGTGAGGACCGGAGGGGGTCGGCGGGAGTGTCTGGCAGATTGGAAGTGGGCGCCCCCAGGGTCGGCCACGCAGCCGGAAAGGATGGGGCCTAGGCGGGGCGGCGGGGTCAGGGGGCACCTGGGGCCTGTTGCCCTGAAACCCCCCCTGGTTCTCATGGGGGGAGAGACACAGCGTTACCAGCGCATCCAGGGCCGCGGGGGGGAGGGGAATGTTCCCACTGTCCTGCGAGTCCTGGGCTGACCCCTCAGGAGCGGAGGGTCCCCCTGGGCCCGTCCACACGCCCCAGCACCGCGGAGGCGCGAGAGGCCTCAGCAGACACAGGGACCCCGAGGTCCCCTTTCACCGCCCGCCAGTGCGCGGCTGCCCCTGGGCTCAGAAGAGCTAGGAGACCCCCAAAGGGACTGACGCGAACAGCCTGTGGACGGTGACACCGCAGGTGCGGGGTGAGCGCGGGGGGTCACAGACAGCGGCGAAGGGGCCAGACCGGGCGGAACCCTAAGGGTGAGGGAGGAGCCGCGGGGCCCGGAGGCCTCGACGAAGGGAAGAGGGACCAGCGACCAGACCAGCAGGGTGTGCGGGACCCGAGGCTCCGGCTCCTTGGAACCGGGCCAGGAGACCAAGGAGGAGACAAGGATCCTGCTGAGCCCCAGGGGCAGGTGCCGGGGTCCCGCAGGGAGACTGGACCTTGGGAAGCAGGTGGCGGAGACGCGGCTGATCCCAGGGGTTGAAGAGGGATCTGCTGCAGGAGGCGGAGGATCTGCTCGACATCGCTGCAAAGCGACCTGGGAAGGGGGTCAGAACGTTTAACCCCGGACGATGGAAGGCGGGGTGTGGGGGGCGGGGGACGGGGCCAGGAGTACAGGAGACCTTTGCGGAGAGGAGAGAACCCGCTGGCCACCAGACTCCCTTCTGCTCCTGGAGGGCTCGCTCTCCACGCCCGCGGGGCCTCTCGGGGTGCGGTCTGTTTAAAACCTGCTGGAATCCCCGTCCCAGGGACTCGCACGTACGGGAAACAGTGGTTCTGTATCTGCCTCTGCCTCACGGAGCAGAAAATCCCCGTGGAAACGGGTTAGGCAGGAGGGTCTTAACTCTTGTTCACAAGTGGCTTCCGGTCTCAAATGTGTGCACCCCGTGAATTCAGATGCACAGTTCTCTGAACAAGAATCAGTGGATCCGCCCGGGCGGTGCGGCTCAGTGGCTGAGCGTCGACCCTGCACCAGGAGGTCGCTGGTTTGATTCCCGGTCAGGGCACAGGCCCAGGTTGTGGGCTGATCCCCAGTGGGGGGCGTGCAGGAGGCGGCCAGTCGATGTTCCCTCTCATCACTGTTTCTATCTCTCTCTCCCTCTCCCTTCCTCTCTCTCTAAAATCAATCAATCAATCAATCAATCAATCAATCAATCAATAAAAAAGGCCCTGGCCGGTTTGGCTCAGCGGTTAGAGCGTCGGCCTGTGGTCCAGAGAGACCCGGGTTCGGATCCCACTAAGGGCATGTACCACGGTTGCAGTTTGTCCCCGGCCCTGGTTGGTTGTGCGGGTGGCAGCCACTCGATGTGTCCCTTTCTCGTCAATGTTTCTCTCTCTCTCTCTCTCTCTTCCTCTCTCTCCCTCCTGCTCTATCTGAACAAAAAAATGGAAAAAAAAATGTCCTCAGCTGAGGATAAAAAAATAAAAAGGAAAGAGTTAGGGGATCCAAGGACGTGCGCTCTCGCTGTCCCCCGAGTGTCCGTCTGATCGGTTGGAACTTTAGCAACGTAGGGATGCGCCCACGTCCAGACACAGACACCGCAAGAGCTTAGCCATCTGCCGGAAGGTCCCCCTCACCCACATGAAACGCTGACCTCTGGCCTAACGCCGTCTCGTTCCCCCTCCAGAGCCCACGAGGATGACGGTGGCGCCGTCCAACATGGACGTGTCGGTGGGCGAGAGCGTCCTCCTGCCCTGCCAGGTGCGGCACGACCCCCTGCTGGACATGGCGTTCACCTGGTACTTCAACGGGGCGCCCGCGGACTTCAGGAGGGACGGGTCTGGCCTGGAGAAGGTCGGCGGGGTGAGTTGTGCTCTTTCCTCCCGCTCTGGGCAGACAGCAGGCGCCGGCGGAAAGCAGGCAGGGGCGACGCGCAGAAACACCTGCTGCTCAGTGTGCCTGGCTCTCCGTGCGCCGGGATCCTGTGCCGTTTTCTTTTCTTTTCCAAATCCTCACCCAAGGGTATCTTTCCATTCATCTTCAGAGTAGGAGAGAGAGAGAAATATCGACGTGAGAGAGACATCGACTAGTTGCCTCCCGCACGACCCCGACCAGGGCCGGGACCACCACAGAGGGACGTGCCCCCGAGCGGAGTCGAACCCGCGACTCCTTGGTCCACGAGCCGACCCTTTACCCACCGAGCCAAACCGGCCAGGGCTCATGGAATTCCTGTAATTACCAGAGTGAGCGCTTTGTCTTCACCCTAAACATCACGATTTTAATTAAATCTGGCACCTGTTCTGTCTCCATGAAACGTTCGTGTCCGTGGAGACTTTGTCATGTAGCCTGTGGAAGGAAAGTGTCTGTCGTCAGGGTGACGTGCTCACGGGGCTGGAACGAGGCCACAGCACCGGCGGGTGAGCTCTCGGGACCATCAGGCATCAGCGGGCGCAGACCGAGGGCCGGACTGTCTGACTGCGCAGGGTCGCCGTGAGCCCTGGCGTCCGAGTGCAGCCAAGACACAAATGCTCCCTGACCGTCCTCAGTCTGCCCACTTGTGATGGGGCCGCACGGCTGAGAATTCGGGGCGAGGAGCGAAGGGGCTGGCGGCCCAGAGGGGCCTCGCCCGGGCCCGTCTGCACCTGCCTCGTGCCTCTCGGCGTCTCTGCTCCTCTGGGACCAAGCTCCTCATCACATGTTACGACGGGTCCGTAGGCGCACTGACCGCTGGGTCGGGTGCAGCTCAAGAGGACAGTTGGACTTGAATTGTGTCCCGATGCTCCGTGTGAAGTTATGGACGGCGCTGCTGTCTGCCCAGAGAGCCTGGGACCTCAGCACCCCCGTGGTGGGAGCTGGTCTGTGGGGGCTCCTCCCGGCCCCTGGGTGAGGCGGGTCTCCAGGGAACAGCCTGGTTGGAGGCCTGGACCTCAGCCTCTGGAAGGGGGGGGCCTACGTGACGAAGCCAGGGGATTGGACGAACCACCCAGGTCCTGGGAGGACGACGCACCCCACCAGCCCAGGATAGAGGCTCCTGCCTGGGGAGTCCCCGACCTCAGCCTGTGTGCCTCCCATCCGGCAGGTTGTGTCCTTGATGACACACGGTGACTGTGAGGAGCGGTCTCTGATCCTGTGACCGTTCTGGGAACCCAGGAGGGGACACACGGAACCCAGACTTGCTGCCGTTCCGTCAGGACCAGAAGCTCAGGGACTTGGGATCCATGTCCGTGGGGCCATCGTGTGGGACTGAGCCTGGACCCCACCTGTAGTGTCGGGGCTGACGTGAGTCCCAGGACCCCCACCCCCGCCCCGTCGGGGTCACTGGGTGTGGGCACCCCACGCATCCGGTTGGTGGCGCAGTTGACAGGAGAGGGGACGGTTCTCTCTCACACGCCTGGTCAGGATGTGGGGAGGCAGGTGCGTTGCAGACAGAGCTCAGCCACACTGAGGCGGCCTGGACAGGACGGGCCTGGTCCAGTAGGACGCGTGACCTCACGCGGAGGGGATTTGGAGACAGACACGAGGAGCAGAGACCGTGGAAACGCAGACCCGGGACTGGGCCACCTGGAGATGGGCAGACAGGAGAGCCGGGCGCCAGGGCTGGAAGGCAGGGTCCTCCAGGAGGGTCAAAGCGGTTCTGGGGGGCAGGCTGGACTCAGCCCCGGAGTGGGACACAAGTGACCTGCCGTGAACCACCCATCAGGCGAGCGGGCAGACACCTTCTGGATAAGACGGTCCGTCGGTCGGAAAGGTTAAAACTGCTTTCGTTTTCCAGTGGGTGCGAATTAGATGTGTCCCTGGGTGAGGAGGGACACCTGGACCAAGGGGACCTTGCTGCAGCCGGTCGGGTCGGGTGGGTGCTGGTCACCACCTGCTGCTTCCACTGAGTGGCGAGACCCCGTCGGCCCCTCGTGGGCACTGTGGCTCCTGTCCCGGGGGGAGCGGGCTTTGCCGAGTGGCCAGCTGGCACGCAGGTGGGGTGCCGCCTCCCTGTCCCCTGGGCCGCTTTGGGATTTGGGATTCAGAGGACACATTCTCTCTCTTCTCCTGATTTACGTCTTTTATGCTGAGACTCAGCCACGCTGGTCCACGTCCTTCTAGTTCGTTCATTCCGTGACCTGACAGTCGTCCCTAACGAGACCGCCGTCCGAAACGTCTGTCTCAGGTGAACACGTGGGCACGTCTCTGTAGGGGGTGCTCTCAGGCAGCGATTTGCGGGTGGGACCTGGCCCATGTCCTGCCTTCTCCGGTAACTAAACAGTTTCCCACAGTGGCTGCCCCCTGCTCCCCCACCACGGGGCTGGTACTGACGCCCTTTTATCCTGGAGTTGCCTGCACGGTATGTGCTGTGTGACCTCATGTAATCCTTATGCAATAAACGCTCTCAGTTTGTAAAAATAACTTGTTCACACGTGTATATCGGCTTCCCGAGTTGGCTTCGCGTCCTGAAACAGACCACGTGTTAGCAGCTTCCTGAGCGGATCGCACGTGGCCGGGCTCAGTGTCAGGACACAGACAGGACCCACGGGAAACAACACTACAAACAGATGTCACCGGGGGCGAAGACGGAGGACGGCGTTCCTCCTCCTTGTGTCATCGATTCAAGTTCACGTTGGTGCTTGAAGAAAATGAGTGGTTTTTACTGTCTGCCCGTCTGAGTTCCTCTCTTCCTCCCCCTCTGCACTGTACGAAGATAATTAAAGTCTGTTCCCTGACCTGGAGCCCTCTGCCTCGCTCGGGCCACTTCTCTCGTCAACACCCGGAGGAGGAGCCCCGCGGGGCGCCGCCTGCGTCTGGGGACGTCGGACGTCGGCTCCGCTCCCGCCCACGTGCGTTCAGAGCAGCTGGACACACCCAGGGCGAACAGTGAGTCCTGCCGGCCCTGCCTGGCGGGATTTAGCGGAAACGGCTCCTCCATGAAAATCAGAGATTTCCGTAGAGATGATAACCACCCCCCGCGACTCTGTGGAGCCCATAAAACCTGGGACTTTCGAAAGGTCGGCAAGTGGGGAAGGTTTTGTCCTGGGAATAAATTTCTAAATGACCCCAGGAGAAGGGAGAGGGAGAGGGGACGAACAAAGTTCACTTCAGTGGAATCGAAAGGGGCAGAACTAACAGCTTCTGGATCGTCATTTACTTACAGCGGTCGGCACCTCACCCGGCCTTGTCAGGACCAAATCCGGGCTGAGCCACACGGACGGACCGGCAGCCCCTCAGGACCCGGGGCTTGAAGGGGTCAGGGAACGGCCCCGTCCGAGGTCTCGGGCAGCACCTGCAGGCAGGAGAGCAGAACCCGCCTTCCACAAACACGGGCAAAACCAAGCGTCAAGCTCCCCTTTAAACACCTGCGATGACTCGCTGGCCACCCGCGGCCAGCCTGGCGGCCTTCCCGCGAGGGGCCGTTCCCACGGGACCTGCTCTGTGGGTCGTTCTATTTCCCTCCGTCAGGTGCTCGTCCGTGAAACGGCCTCAGCCGTCGCTTTATGAACGTGGTCCCGTGTCCCTGTCAAGCGAGGACCGTGTGAAGTCGAGCTTCGGAGAGACATTTGCTCCGTCCGTTGGCACTGGGGGGGGGGGTGCCCGGAACCTCTTCATGGGCAGCTGCCATCGTTAGGGTTTGAATGTCTGTGGGAATCAGGGGCCCTGGGAGTTCACGCCCCAGGGTGACTGGGCCACGGGGAGCCCCGCCCGCCGCCTGTCTCCCCCCAGAGACCCGCTGCTCGTCTCCGTGGGATCCCGAGATGGGGTGAGCGGCGCTGAGCGTGGACACGATGTGTCACCTTGCGGGAGGGAATAGACTCGGAGATGGATCTCCACCTGCTCCGTTTATTCACCGACGGGAGGGAAGCCGGCCGTCCCCACGGAGACCTGTAGTCCCGTGGCTCCCACTCAGTCCTGGTCCCTGCGTCCTGCGGGGCCTTGACCCCACCGCTGGGTCCTCTCTGGACACGGCCTCCTTCCTGAGTGCGTGCTTGCAGAGTGAACGTGAGCTCGCTACCTGTTCGTTCCGACAGAGCTCGTCGGGCGACCTGATGATCAGAAACATCCAGCTGAAGCACAGCGGGAGGTACGTGTGTGTGGTGCAGAGCGGGGTGGACAGCGTCTCCTCGGCCGCCGACCTCGTGGTGAGAGGTAAGCAGCCACGCCCCCGTGTTCTGATGTCCGCCTCTCCGGGCCTTTCCGGAGGCTGCAGGAAACACCAGCGGGGGCGGCGCACGCGCATGGGTGTTGATACTGACTGCCCGCACCCCAGGAATGCGGCGGTGAGGGTGGGCACACGTTCAGAGACAGACAGCTCAGCTCTGCTCTCCTGCAGCCGTCTCTGCACTGAGCACGCCACAGCCTCGGCCGCTGCGCTGGGATGTCACCTCAGCACCCGTGCTCACTGTGGAAGGGACTAGTGACTGTGTGTGTGTGCGTGTGCATGTGTGCGTGTATGTGTGTGCATGTGTATGTCCATTCGTGTACGTATGTATGTCCGTGCGTGCACGTACGTATGTGTGGGCGTGTGGGCACATGTACATTGTTTGCATGTGTGAGTACGTGCATGTGCAGGTGTGTTTGCGAGCACGCGTGTGCACACCTGTATGTGGACGTGTGTGAATGGTCCTCCACAGCCGGAGGCCACCTGAGCTGCTGTCCCAGGTGCTGATTTGCTGCTGGGCTGAGAATTGAGGCCAGTGCTTCCCGGGGGGAAACAGCCGGACGGCCCGCTGGGTGGACAGCTGGCACCAGTGGACTGCAGGGCTGGGCGTCCCGCCCAGAGACAGGACACTGGATTTGGAGGGGTGCAGGAGCCTTCTGAACAGAGGCTCCCACAGCAGAGGGTCGTGGAGGGTTCCGACTGCGGAATCCCTGCCCCTCATTCACGTTTAAGACCCAGCAACAGGGATGCGTGTGGGGGAGGGAGGGGTCGTCTCCTTACAGGCGAGCGGCCTTCTCCCCAAGTGCTTTTGAGATCAGGACCAGCCGGCGGCACTGGCCGTGCGGCGTGGTCTCCCTGCGGTGGGAGACGGCACCGGGTGAGGTGGCCGCTCACCGCGACGTTCCCTCCTCAGGCTCCCCTGGACCCCCCACGCACGTGCAGGTGGATGAAATCACAGACACAACGGCCCAGCTGTCCTGGAAGGAAGGTGCAGACAACCACAGCCCGGTCACATCCTACTCCGTCCAGGCCCGGACACCCTTCTCCGTGGGCTGGCAGACGGCCACCACAGGTAGGGGCGGGCAGACGCCGTGGCGCCCATCACGGGCTTCAGGTCAGTGCCGAGACACGCAGCCTCTGACCTCTCTGACTTGCTCCTTTGTAGTGCCTGAGGTCATTGACGGGAAAACACACACAGCCACTGTAGTCGAGTTAAACCCATGGGTGGATTACGAATTTCGGGTTGTAGCCAGCAACAGAATCGGAGGTGGAGAACCCAGTTTGCCCTCAGAAAAAGTAAGGACTGGAGAGGCAGGTTAGTGTTCTGTTTCCTGAGTAACGTCGACAGGTCTCCCTGGGTGTGGATCTGTGTCCCTGGGCCGAGGGCACTGCCCCCACCGGTGGCCAGGACCGGCCACGGGGCATCTGTCAGAGACGCTGCCGGGGACGTGACTGGTGCGGGGACACATTCCCAAGGGTCCGTGCCTCGGCGGTCATCCCTGCATGTCACACGGTTTTGTCCCTTATGGTGAAAATTGCTCCGACATCGCTGTCCCGTGTGTGAGGAGCACTACCAGGTTGGCGGTGAGGACGCTGGGGGGTCGGTGCCAGGAAGCCCCCTTCTGCTGCCCCTCGGGAATGAGTTCAGACGACTGGGGAGACGCGTTGGCCCCTAAGTGCTGCGTGAGGAGCCACTCGCTGTGGAAGTTCCACACGGGTGAACGCGTGGTGCTGACCAGGCGCAGTTCATCACCCCAGCGCAGCCCGACGTCACACGGAGCCTGAGAGTCGGCACCGTGTCAGGGCGTCTGAGCGGAGAAAGGTTTTCTCTCGGCGTCTGTAGCACTAGCGGCCGTCAGTAAGGGGATGTTTTACACAGAGCTTGTGCGTCGATGTAGGTGCTAAGCCCAGCGAGGACTCAGGCACATGTTTCGGTGACGGACGGAAGCGGAGTCCCTGGGGACGATGCCGATGGGAGGGTGGGGCCATGTCTGCCGAGGCGCTCGGTCTGTTCCCTCGCCTGGCCCATCGAAGGAGGACCTGCTGCAGGTTGAGCACGTTCTAGGGACGGTGGGCGCCGCTGTGCACCCCGCCAGGCTGCAGGGACCCCACCCGTAGCTAGGTGCTGGGCCTCCCTCGGCAGCAACTCTCAGGTCCATGGGAAGGTGGGTGCCTGAGCCGGGCTCGGTAGGAGCCTGCCTCACCGCGGGTGCCGGGTCTCCAGTCTGGGCGTTTTATATAAAGCCGATGTGACGTCATCCTTAATCATTCCTGGTGAATCCCTTTCCTCTGTTACTGACCATCAGACTGAGCCCTTTTTCTCTTACTGTTCGAATCTTTAACAATTTCATGCAACTGTAAATGATGTAATGATTTCCCCAAAGACAAATGCAGTGTGCCCTCGAACAACGTGGCTGGCAAGGGTACCGGCCCCATCCTGGCGACAATCCGTATACAACGTTTGGCTTCCCAGAGACTCAGGCTGTATCTCAGTCTCCACTAGTGGGTGGTTCTGGGGTCCCTGGGCAGCAAACCCGAGGAGCTCAAGTTCCCTGTATAATGTGCTGTGGATCAGGGGGTACAGCTGGGCCCCTGCATCTGCGGACTCCGGACCACAGATCTGAACCGGGGCAGGTGTCTATGGAGAAAAGTCCATGCCTAAGTGTTGTTCGAGGGTCACTGTGTACATAGAAATATATGTTGCATGTACACATGTGTGTGTAAAATGTGCGTGATCCAATTATTGCAAATATCGCAAATGAGCAGCATTGCTCCTTCAGACACACGACGCCCAAGGCAAACAGCGTCTCACCTGTCTCTCGCCCCCCAGCTCCAGAGGTGCCTCCATCCGAGGTCAGCGGAGGGGGCGGAAGCCACTCCGAACTGGTGATAACCTGGGACGTAAGTATCTGGGGCAGGGTCTCCCCGTGGGGCCCTGGGGGGCTGGTGCAGGGGTCCTGCCAGTACCTGATGCGTGTGCAGCTCACGCCTCCTGCTGTGCTCAGCACCATCCTGAGCATTTTCCATGTTTTTAAATCTCACCCTTGTGACATTTCACGGGCGAGAACACTGGGCAGAGAGCGATGGAGCCACCTGCCCGAGGCCGAGTGGTGGGCAAACCCGGTGAGAATCAGGGCCTCACTGTGACTGAGCCCTGCGGGGGTGTGTCCGCTGACCTGTGCTCACGGTGACGGCCCCTGGCGACACCCCCGCCGACGCACCAGGGGCGGCTCCCGGCCCTGCTCCCCACTGTCCCTAATGTCGTAATCAGGGACACTTCCAATGAACACGTTTCAAGCAAGGAGGCGCCGTCACTGTCTGTGTGGCGGAAGATGGTAAAGAAACAGACCGCCGAGATCACGGTGGCGCGTCAGGCGGCATTTCTGACGTGATCCAAACACACCTTTGAGTCTAATGCGTCGTTTCTATTTCCCTTTTTCTTTCTCGTTTTACATGTGTACTTAGCCATCACATCAGTGCGTCACTTCCTTCCATCCAGTCGGCGTTAGGGGTGGGAGGGTGTTACCTGGGATAACAGACCAGGTGGTTCGAGTTCTCCGTATGTCATCACTGATCTCGGGCCGGGGCTGCGAGGCGCCCGGACATCGCGGCAGCTTTAGGAAGTCTCGGGGTGGCGGGGTGGGCTGCCCGTCTCTGCCTTTACCCCGCTCCCAGCGGCTGGCGTCCTCTGGGTGGTGCCTCGGGGGCCGGGCGGCCCCTGCTCTGGCTGCAGCCGGGTGATGGCTGCGTCTGTGCCCACAGCCGGTGCCCGAGGAGCTGCAGAACGGGGAAGGGTTCGGGTACGTCGTCGCCTTCCGCCCCCTGGGAGTCACCAACTGGATCCAGACGGTGGTCACGTCCCCCGACGCCCCGAGATACGTGTTCAGGAGCGAGAGCATCCTGCCGTTTTCGCCCTACGAAGTCAAAGTGGGCGTTTACAATAACCAGGGCGAGGGGCCCTTCAGCCCGGTGACGACCGTGTTCTCCGCGGAAGAAGGTACGAGGCCGATGACACCGCAGTCCCCCCTGACCCCTAGGTGTCCCCCTTGGCCCCCCAGGTGTCCCCCCTGGCCCCCAGGTGCCCCCACTTGACCCCCAGGTGTCCCCCCTGATCCCCAGCTGTCCCCCCTGACCCCCAGGTGTCACCACCTGACCCCCAGGTGTCCCTCCTGACCCCCAGGTGTTCCCTGGGGCTCTCTGACGTCAGAGACATTCCTCCACCTGGGAGGTGGGGGTCCCAGGGAGGCTCCCAGTGCAGGGGTCAAGGTCGAGGTGCCCACGGGGAGACGGGATGGTCAGGGCACAGCCGTGGGTCACAGGTGTGTGGGAGCATCCTGGGCAGCGGGAGACACCCCACACGGCCCTCTCTCCTGGGGTGAGAGGAAGGTCCTCGTGCTCGGGCCGGGGCTCGGTTGGTGGAGCCACAACAAGAGGTTGGGGGTTCGCTTCCCGGTCAGGGCACCCACGTAGCAGGGTCGGTCCCTGGCTGGGGCGGGTACGGAGGCAGCAGTCCGTGCTTCTCGCTCTCCCCCTTCCTCTCTCCGAAATCAGCATCCATGTCCTTGGCGAGGATTCAAACGTAATAATTCAAGGTTTCCCTTTGAAGTGCGCTGGTCTCCTGACGGAGAAGGGGGGTCAGCAGGAGGGGAGGCCCAGGCGAGACTGGGGGGGGCGTGGCGACGGGGGGGGGCCAGACGGCGGGGGCGTGGCTACGGGGTGACGGCGGGGGCGTGGCTACGGGGGCCTGACGGCGGAGGGCGTGGCGGCGGGGCGTGGCTACGGGGGTGATGGGGGCGTGGCGGCGGGGGCGTGGCGGCGGGGGCGTGGCGGCGGGGGCGTGGCGGCGGGGGCGTGGCTACGGGGGCGTGGCTACGGGGGCGTGGCTACGGGGGCGTGGCTACGGGGGCGTGGCTACGGGGGCGTGGCTACGGGGGCGTGGCTACGGGGGCGTGGCTCCGGGGGCGTGGCTACGGGGGCGTGGCTACGGGGGCGTGGCTACGGGGGCGTGGCTACGGGGGCGTGGCTACGGGGGCGTGGCGGGGACACTGCATCTTCAGACAATAGCGCTGGGGTCGTCACCTCCGGTCCGGTCCGGTCCGTGGTCAGAGCAGCTGGGAGCTGCCCTGAGTCCCCCTGGGAGCCGCGGAGGGCAGGTGCCACGTTACCGTGGGCCAGACTCTGCCTCCTGGCAGTTTTCCGAGGAGCAAGGACGTGGGGTGCTGCTGCTATTTCCCATCCACACGCGAGACAACGGGCGCTTCGTGGACGAGATTAGCTGACCGGCCCAAAGCCTGCGGACCGCGAGCTGGTCTGACCGGGGCCCGCGCTCGGGGCCGCCCTGAGTCAGGGAGCAGGTCGCCTGTGGCCCTGCGGTCACGCACCGGGGGGCCCCAGCTGCCGTCCCCAAAACAAGTCCCTGGGGTGTCACACGCCACCCTCCTCTCTGTTGTATTACAACCTCTCCAAGGGGGCTGGGTGGTCACCCGCGGGCAGGGCAGGGGTCTGGGGAGGGTGCCAGTCACCCGCCTCCACGCTGCGCCCTGGCACCGTCCTGGCTGCGCCGGTGACCTGGGCCTTTCTGCTGGGAGTCGGAGGCCAGGGTCCGTGGCTACGAGAAGGGTGCGGGGGTGGGGACGGCGGGGGTCGCTCCCCGAGACACAGGGGAGCCCACAGGAAGCCTCGTGAAGAACCCTTGTGAGAGGAGCCCGGGCCAAGAGGGGCCTCCCCCTAGAGAGCCAGGACTGACCGGGGACTGAGTGCGCCCCGTCTTTCCACACCCAGTTCGCACTCCCAGGAGAATAGTCTGAGCTGTGTTTGGACCAGGACTGTGTCTCGGGTCATCAGCCAGGGCAGCTAACCAGGAGGTTCTGAGGGAGAGCCATGCCGGAGGGGGGCGCTGTGAGCGGCAGAGCCCCGGAGCCGGGGTTACGGGGGCCCTCCCGTGTCAGCACCGGGGCCTGGCAGGGAAGGTCCTCACCAAATGCCATTGGATGGATGAGCCCTGTCGTCCTTGACCTCTGGCAAGTGGAAAGTAACCACCAGTGGCATCCGTGGGCGTAGACATTCCCAGCGGCGGACCACGGGGGTGGGGGTCACGGTCGTGGCGAGAAGGGGGGTGCTGAAGGGAGGTGAGGCCGGGGCTCTGTGGCCTCCAGGCCACTGGGATCTATTCCTGAGGGGTGGCCTAGCTGGTGTCCCTGTGTCATGACGTGGCTCCCGCTTCGAGCGTGTTCCCTGAGGGTTCCACACATTTTCAGACACGTGACAACACTGAAAACAAGGCCTCCGGTAGGTGCTCTAATTTGCTGCCAGAATCACACCTGCTTGTCCCTCATGTCCCCACACAGAGCCTGCGGGAGCCCCGGCTCACGTCTCTGCCGAAAGCCTGTCGTCCTCGGAAATCGAAGTCTCCTGGGGCGCTGTCCCCTGGAGGCTGAGTGACGGACATCTGCTGGGCTACGAGGTAATCCCCTGACAGCAGCTGCGGCCGGGGGTGGCCGGGCCCTTCCTCCGTCCGGTCGGTCTGTTAAACGACACCCTCGCTGAGGTCTGACCCGGTGGAAGTCACCAGCATCTGGTCCCTGGGAGAATCAGTGGGTATGGAATTTCACTCAGCAAGTGGAACGTAAATACCTCTGGTTGGGGTAGAAAATTAAATAGCCGTAGAAAAGGATCAATGGGCCCACTTTTTTTTTTTAATTTGTTTTCTTTATTGATTTTAGAGAGAGGAAGGGAGGGAGAGAGAGAGATGGAAACATTGATGAGCAAGAACATCGACTGGCTGCCTCCTGCTCGCCCCCCACTGGGGACGGGCCCACAGCCTGGGCCTGTGTCCTGACCGGGAATCGAACCGGCGACCTCCTGGTACAGGGTCGACGCTCAGCCCCTGAGCCACACCTGCCGGGTGGGCCGACTTTCTTAGGGTCATGGAATCGTAAGCGTGAGGTTGACCTGCCGTGTGTGAGTTCACATCACAGATGCTCCGCCAGCAGGACCCCTCCCCCGGCTCTGTCTGACCTGGTGGTGGCCGCCACACGAGACTGTCCGGGGCTCGGGGAAGCCGGCTGAATGCAGGCCCTGCTGCCCCCAGGGACGCTCCGTGTGAAACAAGATGAAAGGGAAACGGGGCAGGTGTGAGGGAGGGGGTGCGTGCGGCAGGCGTTGGCTGAGGAGCGCGTGGTCTGCAGAGGTTGGCACGGGTTTCAGAGGAAGGGGGGCAGTGGGGAGAGAGCAGACCCGTCTCCATGGAGCCGGGCGCCAGGCAGGGGGGCCCCGCAGGAGAAGGTCCTCGTACAGGGTGACAGCCGGGAGCCCAGGCCCAGAGGACCATCCTGACCGGGCCCATGTCCAGTGGGAGCTGGGAACCGAGGACTAACAGGAGGAGTAGACTCAGGAAGACTGTTCTCGACAAGGACAGTGTCGCTCACAGCTGTGGTTTGTCCCCACGCTCCGCCTCTGCCCTCGTGCTTCCAAGTCCTGATTCAGCGGCAGGTCACACGGCGTGTCTGCAGCCCGGGCCACGCACCCTCCGCTGTCAGCACAGCCTCAGATGACGCACCCAGGTGGCCGCTGGACCGGCGGCCGCTGACCCGCGGCCAGTGAGGTTGAGCCGGCTGGATTCTGCGTCAGAGTAAGCAGCATGGACTCTGTCATTGTGGGTCCAGTGCAGCGACGTGTCAAGTCAACGCTCCTCGAGCTCAGGCCACGGGCAAGCAGGATGAGACGAGAGACAGACTCCCAGCCCCCCTGGAGGTGGAGGAGCCCTCAGGAGAGCAGAATGGAGCAGCCCCTTGGCGGGCGTCCGGGCCTCCGGAGCCGGGCTGCTTCCTCCAGGATCCCTCCCCTTGCGGAAAACTGCCTTCCCACCTAACTGGAGACGAGCCCTGTCCCTGTACCACACGGGCCCTGACTTGAACAAACACGAATGATGACGTGGAGAAAGGACGGGCCAGTGAAATGACGCTCCAGGTGGGTGCCGGGGACCACGGTCACCAGGTTTACCTGCAGTTTCTGCTAACGACGAGCTCCCAGAACGGTCCTGGAGCCTGACCCAGAAAGAGTCTTGTTCACGGACGTCTGCGGTGCATGTCTGTCGGGGACATCGCTCCGCTTATTGATAACAGGAGTCCTGGCCTTGAACAGAGGACTGGACCGGGGACGGAGCTGCCGGACTTCGGGGAGTGGGGCCGAGGGAGGAAAACACTAACACACAGCAGAGCAACTCGACGGGCACAATGCCGGACCCCAGTTCTGCGCCGCCGACGTCCGCGCTGAAGACGCTGGCAGCCAGGGGGTCTCCCCAGGACAAGAAACAGCGCTGCCTGGACAGGGCATGGGAAGGAAGGAGCTCACCTGTGAGGGAGCGTGGACCTGGGGGCACACCTGTGCCGCATCCGACTCTGCCCTCATCTGTGCTGCAACGTCAGGGCCACTGTGAGCCTCCTCGCCTTCACCCGCGGTGGGCACGAGGCCGAGCCCCCTGGGCCCGTGGGGGGTGGAGTGACACGTGCGCCCACTTTCTGGTCTGGATAATAAGAAATCAGGGAGCGGGAGCCCCGTCTAGAGGAATCTCTGAGACACCGAATTTTAGATTTCTCCCCAGCGAATGTTCTTGAGCAACGATTCAGTGCCCAGCTCCTGGTCTCAGGAGAGCTTGTGGGGACCTGTCATGGGGGTTCTTCCCGGATCCCTCCCAGCGCGGTGTCCAGAGCTCAAGCCACGAAGTGCGTTCTGGAGGGCGAGGCCATGAAGGGCCAGTGGGGAAAAACCAGCAGAAATTGCGGTGGCCTTGGAGGGGACGCAGGGCTGAGGATTACAGAGTCTCCCGGGCCACAGCTTCTGCCGAGCCAGGGCTGGTGGAAGACCTCAGGTGGTGACACCTGAGCTTCCCACACTGGGCATGACCCACTCTCCAGGTCCGAAGGGTCCGATTGCTGTCACTGTGGGTTGTCTGAGTTACTGTGGTGGGATTTCCCAAGAGCTGAGCAGGACAGGAATTGAGAGTTAAGGCAGATTTATGTGAAGAAAGTAAATGGACACATTCTGTACCCTTCTGACAGTACTGAGATGCATGCGCCCCCCCCCCCCCCCGCAACTTTTTGCCTTTTACAAACCACGTGGCAGGATGGTCATTCCTGACCTGGTTGTAGCTTGTGAAACAGTTCAGAGAAATAACAGGGCAACGCAGAGAAATGGGCTTTGTGGGCGGCCAACCACCTCGGGGTGACAGCAGCCCCTGGGGACAGCGTGACAGCATGAGGGAGGACCAGGTCAATTCTAGAATAAATGAATGTAAGCGGATAAGGCTGTTCTCCCTTCACCAGTCAGTTGCTTCAGGAAAGGAGTCTGTGGAACGAGAGAGAAAACCAACAGATGCAAACAGAGGCGGCCAAGTGTCTGCACACGTCCACACTGTTTGGGGCCAGAAGCCCGCACTCAGGTCCACTGGGACGAGGCCAGCCCCTCGGGGGGTGTGGCTCTGCCCATCTGCCTGCCGCTGTGGGCCTCGCGCCCGGAGCCTGCAGAGCCCACGCGGACGGGAGTGCAGCCCCAGCTGGTGCCTGCGGCTGTGTGGCCTTGAGCACGTGGCCGGGCTCTCTCTCCAAAGCCAGTTAAAATATAGATGATAATAGTAAATAACTTAACTCATTGCTTTTTTGGAGAATTAAATGAGATAAAGCAGCCATTGTCAAATGTCCCAAAGAGACTCGGGGGTCACCCCATTTCTGTTTGAATGTTGGGCATCAGGTGGATTTCACTGGAAGGGAACCAGTGACCCAGTGACATAGCCTGAAAGCAGCCTGAGCCAGCATGCGACCCGGCGGCTGCGTTTCTCCGCGTCCCTCGCGCGGCCGGCGTAGATGTCAGCGTGGGAGGCAGTCGGAGCTGTGGGTGCAGCGCCCGCCGTCTGCAGCCCAAGGAGGAGCAGCCCCCTGCCCCCCCCCCACAGGGGCGTGGTCGCAGCCCTGAGAGGGACAGAGGGTGGCAGCTTCTGACCCTGCCGCTCTGAGCAGCAGGAAGAGAAAGAAGAGAAGCCGGGACCAAGACGTGCGGATCGGGGAAGTCTCCGGAATGGACCTGTGCAGTTGCACCCAAACAAAATCAGTATTTCCATAGTTCCAGTAGTGATTTAAATACTAATTACCAGTCACGAGGCTCTTTCTGGGCGTGGTTTCTCCGACGTGGTCCTGACTTTGTTCAAGCGTCTCCGCGAGGGCTCACTTCCCTGGGCCCTGGGATCTGTGTCGAGCCGGGACACGGGGTTCAGGTCTCGCTTGTGCCCTGTGATCAGAGGAGCTGCCCAGGGAGAGAGAAGGCAGAGCTGTGAGCTCACAGGGGTGCCCGGCCGGAGCACCGGGGCCCCCACAGGGCGTCCGCAGTCTGACTTTAAAGTCATTCTGTGTCTCCGGAGAACAAAACACGGGGGAACGACCTTGATTCGTGATTGAAACGAAAGTCTGTGCTTCTCACGTCAGTCGTCGGATTAGACTGTTTCTGGGGACCTGGCAGAGCTGAGTGTTTGGCAGGGAAGGTGACAGTGTCGCGGTGTCCCCATCCAGCTCCTCTCAAAGGCCCTGCGGGGTGTGGCTAGTCCCTCACATTTGAATTCGAGAGGCAGAATGGGTCAAATACTGGAGGAGTTTTTTGAGAAGATGAAAATTCTGCTGGGAACAAAGACACATGCGTTGAGTCTAAGTCACCACTATCAGGCAAACAACAGCTCCTCTCTGGACCGAGTTGTCAGAATGGGGCAGACCAGCCCGAGCCCTGGACATAGATGCAGAGCAGGCGGAAATGCTCCGGACGCGGTGCTCAGGTCTGGTGGAAGGTTTGTTCTGCGGGACAGTGAGGGTGCGTGTGAGCTGGGCTTGCCCGCAGGGCTGTGGTCTTTGCCAGGCAGAGATGCTCCTGCCAACTGGCTCAGGCTGGAGGGACCCGGGACCCACCCCAGCCCCTCCCCCAGCCCCTCCCCCAGCCCCTGCTTCCAGTGGCCCAACCAGAGGGAGGTCTGAGGTTGGAGGACCAGGGAACCAGGCCCCTAGCTCAGGGGGTGGCCCTCCCAGAACTGAGGCCCGAGTAAAGAAGGAGAGAACATAGATCCGGTTTCTCTTCCAAAACATCGCCGAAGGCATTTTGCCTGCCTGGCATTTATTTAAATGTGGTTGGTCTAGCAGCTAAGTTGAAATTTGTCTCTGAAAATCTGTAAGTGTAAACAGAATTATTTTAGTTTATTAAAATAGCATTGCTGACTTAATACCTGGACTTTAATGGCCAAAAAAGGTGCCATTTTCCCATAGATTATTTCTATAAACTACATTTTATTTCGAGTTTAAGTGAAGTGCAAAATCAGATGCAGTCATATCCCTCACAGCGGGGCCATTAGTTCCGGGAACAACTGAATTGCTTGCGGGAATAGAGATCGCGTTTTAAATCCGACACCCTCGCGTTGGTTTCTGTTCACTCATCCACACACAAGTACATCGGCTTCTGTTCTGAAGAAACAATTGCGTTATCTCACCAAGAAGCTGGGGCTCCACTGTGCTCTAGATGCACCGACTGTTAGGTTTGGGTCCACCAGCCCCCCCATCCATGGTTTCCCTTCCCATGATCCCAGGTACCCTCGGTCAGCGGTGCTCCGAAAATATTAAATGGAAAAGTCCTGAAATAAGCAATCCATAGGTGTGTCATTGAGAGCCGTCTGAATAGGGTGATGGACTTTCTCCCCACCTCTCCACCCCCAGGACGTACATCATGTTTCTGTCCTGCACCCACACTGTAGGCTCCTGTGCCTCGGCCTCCCTGACCCGACCGTCCATCGGGGGTCACGGAGCTGTGCGCGTCAGTAAATGTTATCACAGTGTGTGGTCATAGTTGTTCATCTCTCACTGAGCCAAACCTACAGATTCAATGTGTCACAGGTGTGTATTTGGAGGAAGAACCGGGGTACACAGGGGCCTCTGTCTGTGGCCTCAGGCCTCAGTGGAGGTCAGATCAAGGGTGTCCACTGGACTTGCCTGAGGAATAAGGAACATTGTTTACTCTGTTCCCGGCAGGACTGTCCCCGGGGATTGGAACCCAGCGCCCAGCGTCTGCAGCAGGTCTTGGCTGGTCATTCAGGGGCGGGGCCACTCACTTCCCTGAACATGCGGGTCCCTCCCCCAGGCCCCCAGTGTTAAGCCTGGACTCGGGTGGCACTCAGCACCCTCCTCTGAGTTTACCTGGCTTCTCTGGGAGCGCTCACTGCCTGGCTCCCCTGCAGCCCCCACGGCCCAGAACCCAGCTCAGGGCGCCCGGCAGACGCTCCATAATGCTTGTTGGCTCAGCGATGAAATGTGCCCGCTGCAGGGGGGACGCTCTGGCGTGCGGGCGGCAGGTGTCATGTTTCTGCCCACAGGTGCGGTTCTGGAGCAGTGGGGAGGAGAGCTCGCCACGCAGGGTGACGGTGGCGGCAGGAGAGACGTCGGTGCGGCTCCGTGGCCTGGGGAGCCAGCTGGTGTACCACGCGGCCGTGCGGGCCTACAACAGCGCAGGTGCAGGGCCCTTCAGTGCCACCGTGAATGCCACCACCAAGAAGATGCGTACGTACCTCCTCTGTTGGGGGGGCAGGAGCTTGCGTCTGTGCATGTGAGTGGACGGGCCACGCCAGGCGGCCCCCCTTCACCCCTGCGCGCACAGAGCCAGGCGAGGTTTCCTGACCTCCCAGATCCTCGGGGGGCACCGGGGAACGTGAACAGGAGCCGTTCGCAAAGCTCAGTGGGAGGTGTTCAGTGAAGTCTGTCCACTCATCTCTTACAATGTGACCCACGTACGTGGCTCGGGGATTTCTGGTTCACGTCAAAGGAAAGAGGTTTCTTCCTCTCTCTCCTACATCATCTGAAAGATGGCAACGTAGGGCACACGGTTACCTTCAGACGTGGTCCAGGTGATCACACTGATGCTGTGGACCTGGCCAGGCGTCAGCGTGGCCGTGAGCCGAGTCCTGCTGGCCGTGGTCACAGGAACCTCCCAAGGACACATCCTGAGCGCCCACTTGTCAGGATGAAGCTGCAGGAAGCGGTGATGTGCCGGCGGGTGGGTCCACCCGTGTCTCGACTGGACTGAGCGCACACGCGTGTAGTGTGGCTTGGTCCCTCTCTCAGCACACGGCCGCTCGGATGGCGCTGACATGGCTCGTCACAGCTGTTAGCCACAGAGAGCGTCCCACGGGCTGGCCCCACGGTCCCACGTGAGGTGGGCCACTATCATCTGTCCACGGGTGGGAAGGGCGTGGGGGACTGCTCTGCTCACACGTGGTTTCAGAAGGTGTGGACTCAGTGTTGGCTTCACCGGCTCCCGTGGGAGAGACCGTGGTCTCGCCTGGTCACCGATTCCATGAGGGTGTGTGTTTGCATCTGCAATCCCCAAACCTGAGAACACGTGTTTGTTGGCTAAACTTTCCAAGGACGCTAATAATATGAAGTCGAGTGTCATTGGCTAGTGTTGCGGATAATTTAAAACAGGTATTCAAAGCACAATTCTACCACTTTGGATTTCAATCAGTTTCAGGGACTTGACCAGGGATGTTCAGCACCTGTCTCTGCATTTTCCGTAGAAGAGGGTTTGGCCACCAGCTGCCGCGGTGACTAAACTTTATCCTTCACGATCACCAGGGGAGGCGTGACCCCCGCTCTGCCTCCCAGCACAGGGTGGGGTTAGACCGGGGAGCCTGTGGGTTTGCAGGTGAACCGGAATATCCTTGCTGCATAGGTTTGGGGCTCCCAATGTCAGCTCTGAGCTGGAAGATTTAAATACACATCATTACGCGTTCAGAGCACAGCGCCGGTCAGCAGTTCGGACCACGATGCTAAATGCAGACACGTGTCTGTGGCTCTTTCTTTAACCTTGTAATTCCGGTTGTAAAACACAGTGACCCCTCCGAACCCAGGGAGGACTTGGGGAGCTGCAAGGCAGGAGGAGGAGGCTGATTGTAAGTCAACAGGAATATCGGGGCCACGCGCAAGGGGCGAAGTGAAGTTCTAACAGGAAGGAAAACCCTTCACACCCGAGCGGCGCGACGCGAACCCCGTCTGCAGAGGACGTTGCCGGTGACAGGAAAGAGGACGACTGTGCATTTCGTGGCGGGCGTCACTGGGCATCTCCCGGCCACTGTTCTGACAACACTTCCGGTATCGCATTTCCTGATTCTCACGTCAGAGCGAGGGGCAGGGAGCCTGCTGCCGGACTGTCCGGAGACCGCAGGGGGAGCAGGCCAGCCGCCCCGCCCAGCCGTGACCTCTGCGTCCCTTCCTTCGGCGCGGAACATCCCTGGCTCCTCTAACGCTGTGTGGACTGGCTCTTTGCTCCGTGCTCAGGACTGGGAGGGGTGATCAGAGACGGCAGCACCTCGTGCTCCTCCGGCCGTGCGGTGACTGTCGCGGGGAAGAGAATTATGGTCATGACTCAGGCGTCAAGAACTGACATCACAGCTGTGGTGACCTCCTGCCTGTCCCCGAGTGGACTGCAGACCTCGTGGGGAAGACCCTGGGAGCCACTCGTTAAACACTGATGGGGGCCGAGTGGATGAGCCTGACCCCCAGACAGGTCGGCCTGAAGACGTATTAACCGAACACCTGCTGCCGTCCTCCGCATCCTGCCCAACGTGCACACGCCTGGTGCCCTGTGAACACGTCGGCGTCCCTGGCTCCACCTCGTACGGTCGTGGCTGCTGTTAGTGGCTCATGTGAAATGGTCCAGCGACTCTCGAGTCAGTGGCGTGGCTTCCACAGAACACGCACTCTCTGGTTTCCACGCGTGTGCTTTCGAACGCCTTCTGGTGAACAGGAATGGCCAGCGGCGTCCAAGGTGTGTGTCCACCACTCGCAGCCAGAGAAGCGAGCGTTCGAGAGGGCTCCCTCCCGGGAAAACCGCCCCGGACGCCGCAGCCAGCCTGTGAGCCAGCAGAGCCCTCGGCCTCCAGAGCAAACGTGTTGACTCGTTTAGGATCAGAGACTGAACCAAAGAATTCGCAGGACGCAAGTTCTCCGTGGGCCGGGCGGTCGGGCGGTGACACAGGCTCTCAGCGGGGTCCGCACTCGGGCAGCGTCCCCAAGAGTCATCGCAGAACATCTCCAGCTGAATATTCCTGAAACCAAGTTCCTGGTGCCCTTCGGCCCCGTCGGGTCAGCAGTTGGAGCATCAGCCCGAGGGCTAGAGTTGCAAGTGGGATTCGGGCTGAGGGCTCGCACCTCGGCTGAGGTGCAGCCTGTCCCTGGTGGGGGTCGTGCGGGAGGCAGCCAGTCGAGGTGTCCCTCTCACTTGGATGTTTCCCTCCTTCCCTCCCTCCCTCCCTCCCACTCTGTCTGAAGATAAATGAAAAAATAGTCTCGGGTGAGGATTAAAGAAAAACATGCATTTCTTCTACAATCTCCCTGTCTCAGCAGCTTCGGCCCCAGCATTTCCGTTGCTTGGGCCCAAAATCTCTGTGTTACCCTCAGAAACTTCTCTCCCTCGTACCCGCACGTGATGGCGGGCCCCCAGCCTGCCCTCGCTGCTGCGCTGGTGTACCCCCAAACAGGCCAGGGCTCCGTTCTGGGCAGCCCTTTCTCCCCCTGCGCCCCCTCTCGCCCCCAGCCCCGCACCCACTGCCCTGCGCGTCCTGCTCCGGCCCCGTCCGCTCCCTCCGCCCAGAGCCCTGTGCCCAGATGCTCATGTGGGGGTTCCCCAGGGCTCCCGGTCTGGGCTCCATGCTCCTGGGCACCCCCTGCGCTCCGGGTGGGGCGTGCGGCCCTCCTCTGCGGACACCGGCCGCCTCCTGGCCCTGCCCTGAGCCGCCTGAGAGGCGCTGGCCTGTAAGGGGCAGGTCACCCTGCCCTCGCCCTGCGCCAGCCGGAGCACAGGCCTGGGCAGAGCCTGCCCGCTCCCATCCCCGCTCGGTCCCGGGACTGTCTCCAGGGTCCTCGGGATGGCGCCGGTGCCCCGCGCGTGGTGAGCAGACTAGACCGTCCCCATCACGTGTCACGTGGGGTCTGTTCCGCCGTGGCCTTGTTCTCCCCGGGACCCTCCTCAGGGCAGCGGCGACTCCATCAGCTCCTCATGGTGTGTCCATCAACCAGACACGGGGGGCCGGGGGGCGTCTCCCTCCCGACACGGCACTAAGCCAGCACGGTCCTCTGGGAGCCAGGTGGCCCCGGCGCGAGGGGTCCTCGGCTGATGCGCTGGTGACGGTGTGTCCACCTGAGGATCGAGGGTTAAGTGGCTCAATCGGTTTTGCTCTTGAGCTTTCGCGACGCTGCCCAAACCCTGCGCGTCCGGGTGAGATGCCCCCTCCTGCTGACCTCGCGACGGGAGAGGCCCCTGCGTGCTCACGTCTGGGTAACGTCTCCCTCTAACTCCAGCCCCCAGGCAGCCACCGGGGAACGTGGTCTGGAACGCCACGGGCACGCGGGTGCTCCTGAGCTGGGAGCAGGTCCGAGCCCTGGAGAACGAGTCCGAGGTCACCGGGTACAAGGTCAGTGGCCGAGCTTGCGAGCGGTTGCTCTCCGGAGCCTGCCCGGCTCTTCCGGGAGCCGCGCTTGGCTTCTCGCGGGGCGGCGGCCTCTGTCTGCGGCCCAGTTCCGACACGCGGGGTCTGACGGGCCTTTGCTGAAAAGGACACTTTCCCCACGTGTCTGATGTCCTGAGACACAACCAGAGGGAAACACCTCTGCTCCCGGGGGGACGTCGGGGGAAACTGAGTGGATGGTGGGGGTTAGTTGGGGCCCTGCTGAGGCAGAGACGGGACTGAGGACAGGGGCGTGTTGGCCCGACGCGGACGCCTCCCCACTCCGCTCCGGCCTCTGGCCCGACGCTGGTCCTGCCACGTGCTGGCCCTCATCTGAGGCCTGGACCGGGCTGTGAATGTGACGTGGGTTCTGGCGGCTGAGAAACCACGTCCGCCAGGTCAGACCGCACGTCCGTGGGAAACAGAAGCGGGCGCCACGGTCCACAGGTGTCTGCGCATTGCAGGTCTTCTACAGGACGAGCGGCCGGGATGACCTGCGGGTGCTGAGCACAAACCAGACGTCCGCCGAGCTGCCGCGGCCCCTGGGGGCGGGGTGCGTGGTCCACGTGAGAGCCACGACCGCCGGCGGGGACGGGGCCAGCAGCGAGCCCGTCCGGATCCCCGGCGTCACCAGTAAGTGGCCCGTCGGCCTTTCCCTCCCCGACATGTCCCTGCGTGACCCCGGCCCACCCTCAGTCCACCGGGCGGTTCATCTGAGCAGGTGTGGGGGCAGGGAGCGCCCTCCAGGGTCCTGCAGAGTCAGGGACAGACAGCAGGGAGCAGACGGACGACATCGAGAAACATTGAACTTGATCGGCGTGGATCTGTCCTATTCGGGGCCTTGGGTGCCTGTGACCCGGGTCCTTGAGGGCAGGCTGCACCCACACACTTTCTGAGGTTTTTAATATTTGAATTATTTGCTACTAGAAATTACAGATGAATCTTATCGATTCTTTAAAAAGTAGGTGAGCCCGGCTCGTGTGGCTCAGGGGCTGAGCGTCGACCCTGCACCAGGAGGTCACGGGTTCGATTCCCGGTCAGGACACAGGCCCAGGCTGTGGGCCGATCCCCAGCGGGGGGCCTGCAGGAGGCGGCCAGTCCATGTTCTCTCATCGGTGTTTCTGTCTCTCCCTTCCTCTGTCTCTAAAATCAATAAAGGGAGAAAAAAAAGTAGGGGAAATGATCAAGGTCATAAACCACTCGGCCAAATGAAAACATACCTTTAAAAAAAATTCTTAGTCTCTGATTTCAAGTGAGGCTCACACTGACTCTTCCTTTGAAAAGTCAGATGCGCCTGTTTCATCACAGGAAGTGAGTGTTCGGCCGACAGGGAGCAGACTGTATTCCCACTATCAGTGCCAATGGTAGAAGAACTTTTGCTTTTTCTTTTAAATCTCAAACCTGGAGTTTAAAGGTCTCAATTTGAGGACAGTTGACCCTCGACCAACATGGGTTCGAACGGCAGGGATCACTTACGTGCGGTGTTTTCAGTGGGTGCCCAGTCGGCCCTTCGTGCCCCCGGGTTTGCATCTGTGGGTCCAGCCAGGCTCGATGTTGGGGGGCCCACTCACATTCTACCTGGGTTCTGAGGGCGAGGGTGGGCACCCCAACACCTGCCTTGTTCAGGGGTCACCTGCACGGTCTCCACCCTCTTGCCTTCCCGTCCTGCTCTGCAGCTCACGGTGACACGGGAACTCCGCTCCCTGGTGGCTCACTGAGCTCGGCCTGGTCCGCAGTGTCCAGCGTCCAAGCTTCAAACCTCCACCTTCAGCCATGAGCACACATGGCCGGAGCGAGGAAGGGAGAGGGGCTGGGGCACCGGCACCTTCCCGTGGGCCAGAGGGAAGGAAACCACCCCACCGAGAGCCGGAAATGTGTTCTCAGTGCTGAGCCTGCGGCAGAAAGTCTGCGAAAACCATTTCAGAGAGCAGACGTTTTTCTTTCTTTTATAAATACTTTTTTTTATTTATTTTAGAGAGAGAGGAAGGGAGAGGGAGAGAGAGATAGAAACACCGATGAGAGAACATCGACGGGCCGCCTCCTGCACGCCCCCCGCTGGGGATCAGCCCACAACCTGGGCCTGTGCCCCGACCGGGAATCGAACCTGTGACCTCCTGGTGCAGGTTGACGCTCAGCCCCTGAGCCGCACGCCGGGCACAGACAGCAGACGTCTCTGGAAGTGGCCCGGTTCCTAGAGCAGGGGCAGGACTGACTGGGGACAACAGGGACGGACGGCGGTGACTGCAGGGGCGGAGCTGACATTCAGGGTGGCCCAGGGGCTGCTGGGGGAGCGGGCCCCAGGCCTGGGCGGGGAGACACCGCCCTGGCCTCCGAGGGCTGCCGAGGCCCGAGCAGCCTCCGCCCGACACCGGCCCCTGCCGGGCTGCGGGGTCTGGGGCGCACGTCTGAGGGAGGGGAGCTTTCGTCGTCAGCTGTCCTGCAAAGACGATGTCGTGCCCCACGCGTGATGATTTATCTGAGCGTGGACAGATCACGTTCGGACTCTTAACCAGTGATGCTTTCTTGAACGAAGCCCTTGATCGATCTCAGCTGTGTGTCATCAGAGTGTAATTGTTTTCAAAATGAAGCCGTTTTCTCAGTTTCAATTAAAGTTAAACAACACCGGTGCGCAAAGCCGAGGCCTGTTTAAGGGAACGAAAGGGCATCAGGGTTCCACAGACGCGGACGAAGGCTCCGCGGACACGCAGACGGGCTGGCGGTGCCGTGTGGCCCGCGGTGCGGCCCCTGCGCGGGTCTGGCTGGGAGAGCAGAGGCCCCTCCGTGCGGTGGCCGGGGCTGCGGGTCTTCACTCACCTGACGCTTCTCTTGCTCCTCAGACTCCAATGCTCGCGGCTCCACCACCGCCGTCTCGAGCGGCCTCCCGACGTCACGCTGCCTCCCGACCCTCCTGCTGCTGCTGCACGCCCTGCGGTGAGAGCAGGTGCCTCACGGACACGACTGGTCACGAAGCAGGTGCTCTCCCGGATGCCGTGATTATGCATGTTTCTTTCCCAGCTCCGTATTTTTAACTTTCTACGTAGGTAAAGTATGAACATGATTTAACAGGAAGACGCGCAGTGCGTCCTCTCGAGAACCTGAGATGCCTTAACACTCGAAGCCAAAGGACTCCCCACGGCGCGCCGACGTCGGCAGAGGTGTTCGTCAGCTAAGACGTGGAGCCTGGGGGTAGACTCCGCGCTACCTCGCGAGCACACGTTTGTTCTGTTTTCTTTATTAATGTGGAAAAGCTCATTTCGTCCAAATGCTGTTTTCCCATCATAACAGTAATGTTTGGGAGGTTTAATCAGTGTGATTTTGAAAGAGTCAGAAATGCATTTACAAACTGCACTGTTTGGAAGACGGTGCCTGTGACCCCCGAGGCTGGGAAGTGCCGCCCTGGGGTCCGGAGGGTGCTGCTTGGCCTCACCGTCCTTCCGGAGGTTGGCTTCTCCCCAAGTCACCCTGCTCGCTCTCCCCACCCACCCACCAGGACTCTGAACCGTGGGGACGGCCGCACCCTTCTGCCCAGCCTGGGCCCCGTGAGGGCTTGTCTTGTCCTGGAGGAGGAAGGAAATGGAAATGCGAGGGTCCCTGTCCCCCCTGACGCTGGGCTGCTCAGACCTCGGCGTGAATGTATCATGTCAGCAGGAGGTCCGGCAGTCTAAAGCCTGGGTTCCTTCTGCTTAGTGCTTTTATTTTATTCAGCGACAGTATGAAATTGAAATGATCACACTTGTCCTTTCTCAGAAATAAATAACACTACTAAGACAGTGAATGTTCTCGTTCACACCTACGGACAAGCCTTCAGGTTTCGTTAAAACGGGGCGGAGAAAGGAAGGACCTGGCTCTCAACCCAAATCCTTGACGGCTCCGCACGACTTTTCATTTCCGATTTCTGATTCCATTAAGAGGTCCTCTCTTTTCGGGGTAACAGGTGGCTTTGTGATGAAACCCAACCGTCTGTCTGAGAGAGTCTGGCGGATGTTTTGGTCCCTGAGTTAAATCTGCAGCAGAACCAGCGAGGATGCGGCTCAGCCCCTCCCAGCGGTCGGCAGAGGCTCCTCCGGGACCTGACCAGCCACAGGGAGAGAGAGCACCAGGCCGCAGACTGAGCGTCAGACGTGCAGAGTCGACTTTTACCTCCTTTTTTTTTTTTTTACCAATTTCACATGTTGCAGGAACTTGCTCTTCTCTGAAAAATTACCAGAACTTGAAGCCAACTGCTCATGGATCACAAAGAATCGCTTTTCAGTCAGATGACATTTGAGATGAAGTTGTTGTCTGTAAGGAACAATATCTATAACTTTCTTTGGAAGGTCTGTATATACTGTAAATACCTAGGAAAGCCCAACCTTTGTCCCTTCGGTCGCAAAGCGAGGACGCGCTGTCTGCGACCCTGTGCTGAAGCTACGGGTGGGGGGCGGCGCCGGGTGACGGAAGCCCCCCCATGTCCCCGTGGTTTCATTTGCAACATAGTTGCTGTGTCATGGTTCTCGCTCTATATCTCCATGAGATTTGAACTTTGTTTCATATTGAAAAGTATACAAAGTATCTCGAAATTTCTGTGCGTGTATCCTATGGTTATCTGTATGTATTCTTTTCTATTATTCGAATAAACTTTATAACAATAAATGCCCAGGTGTGATTAATTATGGTATGGTTAGAAAAATGTCATTTAAAGGGCACCAGAATAATGATAATTTTTCGGCCAACTGTTACTCTTTCCATCTTGCAACAGAATGTTTTAAGAATTATTCATACACCCTATGGACTAAATCGGCGTTTGAGACCACGCCCTCTGTGCTGAAGACATTTCCGCTGCGGGGCCGAGCGGAAAATTTGCTTTGTGGAATGATGGCGTCTAGTTTGCTCTGACTTCATTCGGTGCCTGGCGGCTACTGCCCCAGTTTTGACGAGTATTTTCTTGAGATTGACATCAGTGTGTCGGGGCCTCACAGACTTGCTCACTGTATCCGTGCTAGAGGCTTGTTCATAAGCAATCCTCAGGATGTAGAAGATTCTAAATATTTGAAAAAACACTCTAGAAAAAGATTACTTTCTAATTAGCCAAGGGTTTTCAATGTTATTGTGCATGTCGGGAAAATTAGAGCGAAAATAATAATTTGATCATTTTCTTCACTGAAAATTCAAAGCTCTACTGAGAGGCAAGAGAATTAAGTGGGGAAAGTCTGTGCAGTGTGTGCAGATGTGTGTGCACGTGCGTGTGCGGGGGCTAGTTTTAAACATGACCTGGGGACACGCGGAAACACTTCCCCACACCGACCAGGCCCAGGCCCCTCCCCTGGGCACAGGGCCCCTCACGGGGCAGACTGGGCAGCTCCACGTCCTCCGGCCCTGGTCTGAGTAAACCGTCTCCACTTCATGGCCGTGGGGTCTCGCTCCAGTGCCATCCCCCCTCTGAGCCTCCGTTTCTATGCACAGAGCAGGGCCGTGGGCGGAGCAGCTCCCAGAGTCGCCAGGTCTTCATGCTCAGCTGTCTGCCCTGCAGTGTCCTCTTTCGTAAACTGAGGTTACGGACGCCGCCGACTAAGACGCTGGGAGGTGTGTGGGTGCCTAAGGCCGTTACTCTTTCAAAACGTGTTTAATTACAGTTGACATTCAGCATTACTTCGTATTAGTCTCAGGTGTACAGCTTAGTGGTCAGACAGTCGTACTTTACAGAGTGACCATGATGTTTCCAGGACGCCCCTGGCACCGTCCGCGTCATCACCGTATTACTGACTGTCCCCTGAGCTGTGCGGTCCAGCCCGCGACTGGCCAGTGACCCACGCGATGCCCTCAGCCCCTCACCTTCCTCCGGTGCTGCTCCTTCAGCTGCAAATCAGTGCGCGGGGCGCGGAGACCTTGGCGTGGCTTTGCTTATCCTCGGGTCTCCGCGTCCTGAGGGGGACAGGTGAGTTCGGGGCTTCCTGGGACAGAGGGTGGGGCGATTCTGGTGGCAGACGATTGCCCCCCCGAGTCCAGGCGACGGCCCCGCCCTCTGTGCCGACTCTGAGTGGAGACCCCACCGCGCTGTCTCGGCCTTCGCCGCGGTCCCACCGGGACTGCTCGGCCCAGTGAGCAGGTGAGAAAGCCAAGGCTAGGGAAGCTTGAGACTGTACAAGTCACTGCAGCACGAAAGGGTCTGACCCGGCGCTGTGGCTACCCCTCGGCCGACAGGTCCCATCCCTGTCGCGGCCAGACACAGGGGTTCGGAGTCCGGGCACCAGTCCTGAGGGCTGTGAGCGGGGCGCCTTGTTCCGTTTCTGTCATTGATCAGCGTTCACATTGGGAAGAACTGGGGAGCCTTCCTTTGTCTGTTGTAAACGTTGATATTTTCTATTTCTTTTTTTTTATCCTCACCCAAGGACGTTTTTCCATTTTTTGTACAGATAGAGTGGGAGGTAGAGAAAGAGAGAGAAACATCGACGTGAAAGGGACACATCGAGTGGCTGCCACCCGCACGACCCACCAGGGCCGGGGACAAACTGCAACCGAGGTATGTGCCCTTAGCGGGAACCGAACCCGGGTCTCTCCAGACCGCAGGCTGATGCTCTAACCGCTGAGCAAAACCAGCCAGGGCAATGTTTAATTTTTATGTACACTTTCTTTACATTATTTTGTAGACGGATTGGGTTGATTTTCAGCCATTTTACCATTTTCAGTGAAAACGTGATCGTGTAATTCAGAGAAACACAGGACATGCACGATCAGGATGTTCCAGAAGCTGTTTCTTCCCAGTTGAAGCCCACCTGCCATTTCATATCCTTTTTATTCCATCTTTTATTTTATTTAGAATTAATCTTAAGTGCGTTTTTTCCTGAAGTATTTCACCCTGTAGAGAAACGAAGGCCGTGCTGGGGCTCACGCCAGCAGGGTCCCTGCAGCGGTGTCGGAGGTAAGTCAACGGCGGCGTCAGCCGCAGCGCTGGGACTGGTGCACGGTACCTGCGTCTGCAGGGAGATTCGGGAAGGGGTGGGAGGCAGATCCTGGAGCGCAGGCTCCCCGCAGGGTCCCGTCTGAGCCCCGATGGGACGCCCAGTATGGGGGGGCCTCTGCACTGCCCGGGGGAGGCCTGAGGCTGAGTTGAATCTGTGAGAAAGGCCGCAGCCGCCCTGAGCCCTGCTCCTGCTCTGCCCTTTGACCCTGTCCCGGCCCCTGGTGAGTCTGCTTGGTCCCGACTGTGGACTGGGACTCGGGCCCTGCGAGGTGGGGCTGCCGGGAGAAGGCGGGGGGAGGGGCAGGGGAGCGGTGAGGGTGGCAGAGAGCAGCCCTGTCTCCTCCTCAGACAGTGGGCTCGGGGGGAGGGCATGCCAGCTGCCGAGGGGCCAGGACGTTCCGGGGCACCCAGGCGGAAGATCCAGGGGATCCCGGCCCCACCCAGGGAGCGTCCACCCCCCGCCCACAGCTCGGCTCCGTCCACTCGGCTCCGTCCACTCTTCTCCCCCCTCCTGTCTTCACACTTACTTTCTCCTCCTGGGGAGCTGATGGCGGGCGGGGCTCAGGCTGCACAGCTGTTGGGAATAACTGCGCCCCGTTCACCTGTGTTGGGCACGTTGCCCAGACTGGGAAGAAGGTCGACGGGCTGGTGGCTCAGAGCAGCTGCCTCCAGTCTCGGGTCTGGGACGAGCCCTCGCCACGCCCGAACCCCGGTGTGGCCCACAGGGGATCCCGCTGCAGCACAGTGTTTGTCTCCAAAGCGCCACCACGGAAGGACGCGGTGGAGGACGGTCCCACGGACGACGTGACCTAAGAGCAGAAAACTTTTCTCAGACTCTGGCTCGTGGGTTTTCAGTAACAGTCTAATAACAGTAAAATCTTTACGGCTGGGTTTTCAGTGCTGACTCATTCGTCAAGGGTCACTTTTCACGTCTGTGTGATAACTTCCGCGCTTCGAAGGAAAATTCTTCCATTCATCCGGCGTCAGAGCTGGTCTTGGGACGAGATGTGAGACCCCCTCTCAGGGGGCTTGTCCCAGGAAGCCCAGGGGCCGGGACCGGACCTGTGGGGACAGAAGCTCAGGGTGCGCTCTACCTGTGAGGACCTGGTGGCGTTTGCCGCTGAGGATGGTCCTGGGCCGGGGTGAGGCGACCGTCCGCTGGCCGCGACCCGGCCCCTCCGGACAGGACACCGACGGCAAAGGGCCCAGAACCTGGCCCCAGATCAGGACCAGGAACATTCCCCGGAGGACGCTGCTCAGGAAGAGGGTGAAACTCAGCCTAAAGCTTCCCTGCTCCTGCCCGCGAGGAGAGCCAGTGGACGGCCCCCCGGGCCCCCGTGAAGTGCAGGGACTCCGCTGAGCCCAGCCTCACCATCTGGCTGGGGTCGGTGTCGCTGCAGGGAAGGTTCCGGATGCTTGTCTGAGGACCTGAGGGGCTGCGGGACTTTCTGAGCCTCGGTGGAGAAGAATCTGCGAGAGGAGCCCACAGGCGAGCGCCCAGGGGTCCGTGTGGGCCAGTTGGGCGGTGTCACCCGGAGCAGGTCGCCCCCCAGGACCGCGCCCCAGGGCCAGACGGAGCCCCGGGCGCTGCAGGCACCGGGACCATCTACCCGCTGTGACCACGCGAAGGAGGCCTTCTGCCATCAGAAAAGAAGCACATTTGTCCCCACAGCCGAGGGGCCCTGGGTGGAGGAGAAACACGGTTCCCGCCCGGCCCCTCCTGCGGAGGAGAAGCTGGGCCGCAGAACGGGAGGAAAATCCACGTGGCTGAGTCTCGGGACGCCCACCGCCGCAGGACGGTCCCGCAGGGAACAAGATGCGGTCGGACTGAATCTGGGGCGGCCAGTCCTTCCCAGCCCGATGTGAACCCAACTCGTACAACCTTGTTTTCAGGACCCTGATCTCCACCGAAACGTCACCCGGGGCCTCGAAGAGTTTCCAGTACCTGCAGGTCCCCATGCTCTGGGCGGAGGCGAGCGGGTCTCTGCGGACAGCCCCCCGCTGGGATGCCGCCGGGGGCCCCCACAGCCCGGACGACGCGACACAGCAGCCCCTGGGAGCTACGGGATGGGCTTGTCCCAGGAAGTTCCCAGATCCGAGGACCTGAGGGCAGGCGTCCTTCCCGGGAGCTGAGCCGTTGCCTGGGAGGTCGGCAGGGCCACCCTGTGCGTCCACGGAGCCCCGAGGGGTGGGCACGCTGACGGGGGCCTGGGGTCCATGATGCTCACCCCACCCCCTGCTTAGCCCCCGCCTGCCCTGTGGGACGGGGCCAGCCTGACGCCTCCCCTGGGTGCTGATTCCAGGACAAGGCCGAGAACCTGGGAAACAGGCCGCGTCTCCGTCCAGAGCTGTGGAAGGTCAGGGCTCGGGCCCGTCCTTGGAATCACTGTGCGTTTTGTCCCCTGGCTGGTGTCGCTGTGGTCGAGCCCTGTGGTCCTGCTGGGGCTCGGGAACGGGGCACCTGGAGTGGGTGTCCACAGCTGTGTCTGGGTTCCAGGGAGACAGAGCGGCCGTCTGCCCTTCACTGGCTGGGACAACGTGCCCAGTGGTCCCGGTGCCTGGTGTGAGGGCCCTTGGCCCCGGGCATCCGGGCCTCCCCCCCCCGGGGGCTGACTGGTCAGTGAAAGAGGAGACATTGAGACAGACGTCTCTCTGTGTTCTCGAACAGCCTCCTCCGATCTCCAGGTTTTCGTTGTTTTTAAGTTTTTCTACCCGGAAAACGGAGACACTTGGCCTTCGGTTCCCTTCCCACCCTGTGGCGAGGGGCACGCATGTGGGGGCGTCTCCAGGCTCATGTTTGTGGGTGTGTGAGGCTGACGCAGAACCAGCCACGCGGGCCTCGACATCGTCATTTTAAGAAGGAACGTTTCTCAAGGAAACGTATTGATCTGGATTATTTTCACGGACAAATTCAGATCGTGTGTCACTTCCTAGAGGAGTCGCTCTCCTCCAGCAGAACCACCTGGAAGCTTTTCCGCCCAACGGGGGACAGGGCGTGGCTGAGGCCCTTGCGGCGGCCTCCCCGCTGGCTCTTTGCCCCAAGTCTCGTGGACACCCCGTGTTTCCCGGGCCCCAGCGACTCTGTGCTCGGCCGACTGTGGGGTGCGGACCAGCTGATGCCACAGTGTGGAGGTGTTCGCGGGGCCCACGCACCCTGCATGCCGGCGGCAGAGGCTGTGGCCGGGACCCGAGGCCACAGTGTGGACGGAGCTTGGGAGAGTGTGGAAAGGGGATTGTTTGGGGATCTCTCCGTGTGAGTTTCCAAGCCTCCCGGCCCCCCGACCGGGTCTGTCAGGCTGAGGCGTCCACCGTGTCTGTCTGGTGAGCTGATGAAGATGAACAGCCGGGGTGACAGCCAAGGCTGCAGAGCAGACGCCAGTGGGAGAACGGGGGCCGGACGGGAAGATTTCCTGACAGGTGGCGTGGGGCGTGGGAGCAGGCGCCGTGCGCAGGTCTGTGGGGGAAGGAAGCCCACTGGAAGGCGGCCCTCAGACTCGGGGGCTCGGGAAGCGTGCAGAGTCTGGGTAGAGGGGGGCTCTCCCCACTGCGGTTTCCGGACGGAAGTGTCGAGACTGAAACGTCAGCGCAGCAGCGGTGGCTCCTGACTCGGGCTCAGGAAGGCCGTGGGCGGCGCGTCCACCAGGGAAACAAGGCCCCGCCGCAGGGACCACAGGAGCAGCGGACACGCCTCCTCCCCGTAACTCACAGTGAGGAGAAAGACACCACGTTCTTCCCCTTCGGGGCCCTGCCTGGTGTGATGGGACGGCCCGCCCCCTGCGTGTGTCACCCCTACAGGGACGCGGATGGGGCTGAGGCCGCGATGGGGTCAGAGCCCTGCACTTTGAGTCCCCCCGGTGCGGGCTCCCTCTAAACGTGGCATCTGCAACCTGGGCCTCGTCTTGGACCTGTGGTTCCGGTTCTGTCACATGGCCCTGTGTTCCCGGGGAGCCTGCTTCCCGCCCCCGATGTGGGTGCAGCCGTGGGGAGGGGCCTCGCAGAGAAAGTCTGCCCCCCGCCCCGCCCCGGCCCTGGAGCAGAGGGTGGACCAGGCTGCTTTTCCTCAGATTCACTCCCGTGTCCGGAGTGTGAGCAGAATGTTCTCCTTCTCCAGGGCTCAGTCATTCTCGGGCCCAAACAGGATGATGATGGAGCTGGAATAATGCAGTTAAAGCCCAGCCAGGGTGGCATCTCCGGCAGAGGAGTTCCTGAGGGAGGGGTCTGAGGAGTGTTGAGATGTTGGGGAGGAGCCTGAGCCCCAGGTGAGGGTCCCAGGCGGAGCCGGGGTTTGTGGAGGATCTGAGCATCGGCAGTGGTGTGTGCACCTGTTTATTTACTTCCTTTTCCACAAAGAACATACACATACATACAGACTCCCTAAGTATTTAAGCTCTGAGAACCGGGAACAACGTACAGCAGACACACCTGGACAAAGAGGAGAGAATACTGGGGTCACCCTGAGACGTAAACACAGACGACACATGAGGGTAGGTGACAGGTGGGGCTCCGTGATGTCACAGGAGAGACGTCTTTCTGAATAAAGGGCGGTGATGGGAATGCAGCTACCGTAACAGGTTCGGTGAACACACACTTCAGGACTGGACAAGCCTTCGTCACTGTGTCCGCGACGTCCGTTTGAAGAGATGCTCCGTTTGGGTCACCAGCACAGAAATGCCACCTGGTCTGCAGGACAACGGACCGTCCAATAGGTTACACAGTTGTGCCGGACAGTGTATAGCAACCTGGTCCAGACCCAAACCGTATCCTCGAAGGTCCCTGGAAATCGAGTCCACGTGGTCCACCTGAAGGGGTGTGACCATCCTTGTGTGGTGAGCGGTGGTGGTCACTCAGGAGGGACCCTGACACCCCCTGGGACAGCTCTGTACAGGGGGACCCCGATAATCTGACAGCCTCGTGTCTGAAATGAACAGCAATGCGACGTGACCTGGGGGAGCAGAACCGGTTTGCAGACAGCCAGCCTCTGAGACGCGAAAGTTCTTGCTCCCTGGTCACAGGGCTCGGCTCCTCCCTCTGAACGTGGTCCGTAGCCCGTCCGCAAGACGACTTACCGAATTGTGCCTCTGGCATTTCCACGTGGTTCACTTTGCCCGTCTTTGCTCCAAAGGTGTGTGTGAGCTCTCGGGCTGTTCCACAGCTAACCCAGCAAGGAGCCCACGGAGCACAGCCTGCGATCGTCTCAGGCATCTGGTCACAGCAAACGGCAGTGGCTGCGTCTCGGCCCAGAGTGCAGCCTTCCCATCTGTGTCTCTGCACAGCTCATCCAGCTGGGTGGGCGGCCACTGAATAGAAGATTATAACACGGGTGGATGGATGGATGGACAGATGGACGGATGGACAGATGGACGGACGGATGGATGGATGGATGGACAGAGCAGAGATGCACTCGGAGACACAGGCCGGCAGCTGCTGCTCACCTTCTGTGCCGTTGACCTCTCTGTTGGCTCAAGATACGTTGGGTTCTTTGTTGGCGCCACTCACATGCAAAGTCTCTAATATCTCCTGATCATCATTTTTTTCTTTATTGATTTTAGAGAGAAAGGAAGGGAGAGGGAGAGAGAGATGGAAACATGGATGAGAGAGAACATCGATTGGCCACCTCCTGCACGCGCCCCACTGGGGATCAGGCCCACAACCCGTGCCTGTGCCCTGACCGGGAATCGAACTGGCGACCTCTTGGTGCAGGGTCAACGCTCAACCCCTGAGCCACACCGGCCGGGCTAGTTCCTATGTTTTTGGAAACATAATTTCAGTGCTTGAACCTAAGGTTTCAGCAGCTCTCCTGTTTCGTTTTGGCT